TTTTGGCGGCAGCCCGCCAAATCATTGATATCAACATGTATCCGGAACATGTAACCGGAAGAAATGTATGGATGTGGTGTCGTCGGCTCCAAACCAAAACTTTGGTCGATTCCGCACATGATCCACAGTACGACATTTGGCAGAGATTTCGCTATGGATGTGGATGTGGAATTGCTTCAGAACCTCTCTATTGTTCCATCCGAGGCCAAGGTCGACATGACTTTCAGCCCATTTCACTCGTGCAACTTTGTGGGCCTAGGTGAGTCGAGACGAAGGCTTGCGCTTCTTGTACTTGAATCGTTTGGACTTCTTGAGAATTCGACGAACAGAACGAGCAGAAACTTTAAGGTTTAGATCAAATTGAATCCTGCTTGAACTCGATTTTCCTTGGCTGGCTTGACGCAGAACTCGGCGAACATCTCTTTCGTTAAGCTTTGGAGGCCTTCCAGAGCGTCTTTTTGTTCCATACGTATCGGGAGACTTGAGAAAGGCACATACAGAGTTTTTGGACAAAAGCTCACGAGCGATTCGTCGAATCGACCATTTTGCGGCACGAAAAGCCAGTTCCTCTGGAGTGAGGAGCGCACCTTTTGGCATCTAATAACGCATTGTTATGGATTCGTATGAGTATTTCAAACTTACATGTTGATTGCCGGGCGACTAAACCCCTTAGTCTTTGTGCTACGTGGGGATTTGTGAAGTGTACCTTTCACTTTTGACCACGTTTGAGTCCAGTCATATCAATTTTTTTCGATTTTCTCGGCTTCTATACATCGTCTGTGATATTTAAAACTATTTACTTGGTCTGCTTTTCAATTGGCTCAGTCCGAGCCTCACTGCGCAGCAATTGGACAAAGAGATGAAAATCGGTTGTAAAATCGCAAGTGTCCCTTCCACTTTTGGCCAGCACTGTAATAAATTGTCCGAAAAGGATCGATAAGTATGCCTTGGGTTCGAATTCCGGACCGCACAATAGTTTTCCCCTCTTCACAGTCAGACACGAATGTAGAAGGCGAAGATAGGCAGCTATGGGAGGGCTTTACATGAGATGCTACTTTGCTGCCATACGCAAATGCCTCCTCGTCGTGACTCGCGCGTTTCCGATAGCGCGATGGCGGCGATTCTAGCAACTGCAAGACGACTACTGTTGGTCCATCTCAATTCCCTAGACACGTTCAACGCTGAAGTGGCAGACCTCATCGACGAAGCTTATGTATCCATGGAAGCAGGGATCGACCTCCCACTAGACTTCGTGCAGCATCGAGTCGATATGCACACGAGACACCTTCAGCTCGTAGAGAGGCTCGAATGGGCAATGATGGGACATCTCGGAGCCGACGAGACGTTTCAAGCGGAGGTTGCAAGCATCCTACCCGCTTTGAAGCTACGCTTGGACGGTATTTCGTTCATTCTGCAGGTTCTAGCCCAGCACCAGCCATCTTAAGCGACGGTCGATCATCCGCTACAGTGCTGGTGAATGTTAACGCCATCTCACCGTTTGAACAAATAATTATCCGGAGTATTCCGCATAAGTGTTCAATCATTCGACAAACTTTTCGACAATAAAAATATATGCAAACTTCAGAAGAGGGAGAAAAAATATAAAATCGAAGCCAGTTGGGTCGACCGAGGCGCAGTTATTGACCTCTTCGACGATTTCGCCATGTCCAAGCCGATGGGAAGCATCTCAAGCGACTCGCTCAACAAGCCCGCGAACGGCGGCAAGACGACTGTCATTGATCGCATCCGCAACGTAGACAAGATTGAAACGCCGAAGCTGCTCCGGTACATGCGCGTGGGCAATATGCTGTGTTGCATCTTGCAAGTGTTCGCGGGCATTTCCGGCTTGGCGTCTATCGTCACGCTCAACATCACGGCAGTGTTCGTGTCCCTGTACGTGATTTTGTTCGGTGTGCTCTTTCTCCTCTTTGAATGCCGCTTGTCGAGCTTGGAACCCAAAATTCGTGAAAACTTTGGGTTCCTGTACTCTTACCATGGCCGCGCCCGGTTCATTTTCTTCATCGGGTTCATGGACTTTGGGACTGGCGGCGGATTGGGGTACTTGGCTGGGATCGTTATGTGCGCCAATGCGTTCCTGAACTTCTGGATCATGTACAAGCACCCTGAATTCGCGTCGGGCAACCTCTCGTCGTCGTCTGATCCGACCGTCGGGTATGCTCCCGCGACCCAAGAAGCAACCACGTTCCTCCAGAACAACCCCAACATTGCCAAGCAAGCTACCAGCTATGCGTTCGCACAAGCGTCCAACGCCGCTGCCAACAACAGCAGCACCAGCTACGGTAGCCGCGTCTAAACGTGTGCTACCACGTGCTCAAGGAAGAGAAATCCTCAGTTGTTGTCCCATGCTGTTCATGTCATTTGCATTATCCTTAGTCTGGGAAGCTTATAGTAGATACGTCTCAAAAGACGAGTCTGCGCTCGCAACTGAGGACACGTTGTGGCCGTGTGTGGCGCAGTAGCCCTTTCGCTGGCTTCCCTTCTTGCATCCAGGGTACTTGCACAGCTTGCCACCTCCGTGGGTTCGGCAATACCTATATAATCCGCTCGTGGGCCTTCGTCCATAACAGCGCAAACACATACCCAGCGCCTTGACTCGATTTGGAGCATCCAGGTTGCCGGCACCGGATTCCTCCGCCGTGGTTTTTGCACTTGCCATTCGATTGGGCACCACGGGAACACCCTTCGACACCACAACGCCGGCCGCCACCATGTCGGATGCACAGGCCATGGCCCTGGCTGCTCTTGATGCATCCTACTTCTCCATCAAGACCATGAAACAGACCTTTGGTCACACCCACCTGCCACCGAACAACGTCGACCTCCGCCATGCGATTTGCACAATCCTCGGGAGCGAACTCGCTTCGGGCAATCTATGCGTTTCTAAACTCGGGTTTTTCAACAACTTGGTCAACTACGTACCGGGGATCGAGCAATGAATTGGCTTCTTTGAGTCGTCGCTCCCACTTGGGGTGGGGAATAGCACACTTGGTGGAAGGTCGACTTGGTCCAAGTAGAGTAGATCGTCACACGCAACCGACGAGACGGACGAGCATGGCGGATATGTCGACGCTGGCAGGTCTGATGTGGAAGGCACAAGGATTGCGCAAAGCAGACTCAGTTCTTCGCCAGTGAAGTCGTCGGAGGATGGATACGTCGCGGCTGTGTCGTCAGGAACGTGCAGGAAGGACATGCCAGAGGTTGGACACACCGCGGCGGCAAGGTGAGTTGGGAAATGATCGATCGAGCGACGACTGGAAAGTGCCGATGGCAACTCGCGTGTGCGAGACTGTGCGGTCTATATTGACAGGCCAGCAGAACCACACGACCACACATGTTCATGTTGATCGAAGGTTTACAGCTGCCTACTGTGATGTCGGGAGCTTGCGCTCGATCACTCCTTCGCCGTCGCATGCTACAATCCCAAGTGAGTACAATTTCCACCCCATCTCTCTCACACGAACCTGTGCACGTCCTTTCCAACACCATGAAGTTGTACGGCACTTTTTCGATGCGCTGACCATGGCATTGCTTGCAAATGTCCAACGGCCTCGACGGCAACGACATCGACGACGTGTTGTGAAAGACGGAAGCTGTCGCCTGCGAGATATCTAGACCATCCAGGTTCTCCTTCGCGTACTTTTGCTGGAGGTCGCGGTACAGGCTCGGGTCCATCGTTGCGGATTTGGCCTGTCGCTTCTCAGCGTAACAGTGCGCCGTTTCATCCGGATACGTCGGGACAGCGGCCGTTGCGGGAACTTGGAGCTAGTATGCGTGATTTGTTGTATCCGGAGGATGAAACCGCCCGTGGCCACCAGTCGGGTCACTCACAGCTTGAGTTGCCCCAGCATGCATGCGGATGACTTCGTCGCGCTGTGTCACGACATCATGGACGACATGGACACGACATGCGCCCTGATCGCGCAGGAGCTGTCGTCCGTGGCCGATCCGTCAGACTACCTCGCAGCCATCCTCGAAGTCGTTACGTCCGAGGCCATGCAGGGTACGACTGCTGGCCTGATGAAAGATTGTGGTGGCGATTCAGCTGTCATTGGCGTAGGTGAAGTTCTGGATCGTCTTGTCACCGATTACATGCCACATTTCGTCCAAGTACTACTCGCCCGACCGTTTGAAGGCGATTGTGCTGTCCCTGTGAACGAGTTCCTTCAGGTACCTCACTATGACCAGCGTACACGTTCATCAACGTGTTATCACTTCTAGTTTGCATTGGAATGTGCTGTTCAGCGTCTTCGAGAAGGCGACCCATCCATGATCCCCACCATTCATCGCATCTTTGACCACCACCGCCTATTCTATAAGGGTCGGCTTCCTGCTTCGCCCGCGGCCGACGCTACGCAAGACTACGCAGCGTCCACGTCAACGCAAGTGCACCCCGACGTCCTTCAGAATATCAATTTCTTCGGCGACCAAGGGGGATTCCACGTCCTCCTGTGTAACATTGACGTTCACATGGCATTGGATGACCTCGCCAACACGCCCATCTCTGAAAACAACAACAATGACGACGACAACCGCCAAGGAAATCGAATGGCCGACTCGTTTTCATTCGATGCTCTTGTCTGCGCACTCAAAGCCATCGCCGTCGCCGTAGATTTGTTCACCGACGCGTTTGCCATTCGCTTCCTGGATGACTTGACGACAGCTCTCTGCCACTACATCCGCCGGACGGCTAATTCTCGAGAGTACCTCCACGAGTTGGACGAAGTGGTGGTGCAGCTGGCCGCACGGGTCGACAAGTCCCATGAACCTCCGCGTCGGTCGAGCCTTGTCCTCGTCAACGAAGTTCGTCTGGAGGTGCGTGCCCCTCGCTCTCGACTCCATCTCAAAACGCCATCTCGACCACAGATGGCGCTGCAAGGGCTCCGTGGCCGAACGCTTGAGCGCCGTATCAATGGTCTATCGGATTTGAACAATTCCCTCAAGCAGTTGGCAAATGCCCCAGCGACTGCTGCGTGGAGCCCGCAGCATGTCGTCGGCTGGCTCGAAACAAACATGGTACCGAGTTGGGTGGTGCCTTATGCGTTTGGGCTGACAATGGACGGCCATTTAGGTGCTGGACGATCTATTGGGCGAAGCCATACACCCCGAGCTGGTGAAGCGAGGAGCGACAGTCTATGACTTTTTTGCCCGCCACAGACTTCTCCTGCCATCCCACATGTCGAGTCTGTGGGCGATATGCATCGACTCGCGCCGCCACGCTGCCATTTTGGCCGCCGTCCATGAGCTCTTTCTGGACGTGATGGTGCATGTATCGGACCAGGAGCATTTGATTGATTACGTGTTTAATCTGGTTGGAGCCTTGACCCAGCTCGAGACCCATGCATTGGCGACACTTAATGTGTTGGCCTCGTCGGGCCATTTGAGTAGAGTCGTGCCGTGGCTGTGGTCGGCGCTGAAGGCCAACAAGTGCATGGACGACCACAACATGGAAGCGGCGTTGGCGCTGCTCGACGAACTCGTCGTGCAAGATCAGGCGTTGCTCAGCACGTTGCTGGTGAATTGTGTCCAGTTGCTGATGCGACGGACGGACGAGGACGGGGCGGTCGCGCTTCGCTTTTTATCGCAATTAAGTCGATTGATGTCGGAAGGCCACGCGATCGAGCTGCTGCCGGAACACCGACACCACATGAATGTCGCGTTTCTGGTCAGGTTGGTGGACGAGTTGGCTGCGTACAAGCAGACGCCATGGACCGGCGCCCACCACGTGGATCAAATCAAGCGGCGCTTGCTGGCGCTACACAGCAGCTGGATCCTCGTCTCGTCAAATGAAGCTGGTGATGGGGTGACGCTGACGTCCACGAGTTTGGACGCGCTGTGGGACCATTGTGTGCTGACGCACGCAGCGTCCCCCGACGAGTCGTCGCTCTTCTTCCAATGGGTTCGGCTGTGTGACAACCTCGTGCCACAGAGCCACGGGCGCATGCTACTGTCGCTGCCGCTGCAAATGCATCTATTGTCAAAGTTTCAACTGCTCCATGGGCCATTGGTGACCCAAGATGCAGTGGAGTGCTTTCACGTGTTGTTTGGCAAAGTCAACGTGGCCAGCGGATGCCTCGACACCGACTGTCGTGTCCTTTGTACGTCCATGCAGTCGTTGGAGGGCCTCCCGCAGCTCTGGCACCTGGCCGTTCATGCGTCCGACACTACTGTAGCGGAAGAGACGATTTCAAAACTGGTCGGGTACCACTTGGACGTTGTTGCGTCGTCCCAGCAAGCAGCAAAGCAAACGTTTGTCGACACAGCTATTGGATTTTTCCTCGCTGCCAAAGCGCAAGGCGCGGCGACCGAAGGAGGTACCCTGCAAGTGAACCGTTGCCTCGACTTGCTGCGATTCTTCTTGGAGTCGTGCGGAGACAAGGCCGGAAGCGATGAGGCCGACCTGAGGGTGCTGCCGTCTCCGATGAAAGTTGCCTCGTGCTCTGGGTCGTCGTTGCCTCAACCACAGCTGTCTCCGGCAAAGTTGAAACGAGCCAACTTGCAGTGGACGCCTCCAGTATCCCCGACGCAAGGCCCCGATCTGCACGACACGGACGTCTCAGCTGTCTTAATGGAGTACGAGCCCACAGCAGTACAAGCTGCCAGCAGCGCCAACGATCGTACGGCGTCCCTTCAGCGGATGGAGATACACCGACCGGCGCGAGTGCACCCGCTGACTTCGGAACAAATGGCCATGGCGATGAAGGATGGCGGAGGCGCTCCGGCCCCTCAGACCATGGTACGGTGACGTCGCTGCATCATTGTGCCTTGACGTGAATTGACATGATGACAATAGGCATTTGGCACGGTGCCAGCGACGGTGGTGAACCACACGCGATTCTTTGACGCGCTGTTCTCGATCCTGGACTGGCCGGGCGACACCTCGGAGCGGGCTTGGGAGCTCCTCTGTCGACTGCCTTCGAACCGTGCGCTGTTGCACCACATGGTCGTCCTGCGGGACTCGCGCACGTCGGCAGTGTCATGGGAGTCCCTTCTGGACACGTCCAACATCCCTCGGTTTCTGTACGGCCTGCGCCTTGTCGAAGCCCTCTTGAAGCCGCTGACGACGGATGCAACGACTCTCCACCACATACCCCACCGGCAGTGGCGAGAGCGGTTTGTCCGACTGGGCGGGGGGCAGCACTTGTACAAGACATACCTCCAGTGGACGTCGGCGGCATCGTCGCCGGACGCCATCAAACCAGCGACGGGCTATGCGCAAACGTTGCATGCGACGTGCTTAGCACTCTTGTGCAATACGTTGCGGTACTTTGTCACGCTGGAGGAACGTGCATTATCCACGTCCGAATCGCCCTACGATGTGGCACTGGCCCACTCAACACTGCCGGCGTTCGTTCAACAAATCTCCCTGGACGGGATAGCAGCGCATGCCATCACCATGGCGCGAGCGGCACACCATTCAGCGTCTCTCGTATCAACTGCGGTGGTGTTGGCGGCGACCCAACTACTTTTCGCCACGGTCAGTGCGGATGCAATGGCTAAGTGGGCGGATGACGCGGTCGCCGAGCTAGTCCTCGACGTGACCAGCCGACACGTCTCGATTCGCGGGGATTTGTGTGCGCAGTTGGTGGCGTTTGTCGCTCCACACGCGGAATTGCACGCAAAAGTGACGCGCATCACATGTGAGCTGATTGTTGGAGCGACCACCCTGCCCAACGAATTGCCCGAGTTGCTTGCCGCGTTGCTGACGCACGACGTCTCCAAACCCCTGAAGCTTTGGATGCAGCAGAGCAACTTTTGTCAACGCTATATCGCGTTCGTCACGTCGCGCCCAAACACGGATTCGTGGGCCACGGCTGACCGTACGTTGGTGGCGCACCTCGGCGTGATAAAGCTGCTGGTCGAAGCGAAGGTCTGTGTTGAGGCACATACCGTCGAGGCTCTTTTGGATGCGTTTTTGTTTGGCGACGACACGGATTGCTCCGACGTGCTTTGCAAATCTGCCGTCGCGAGGGCATTGTCGGCCGAGATCGTCCAACTCTTGTCCGCATCGACGTCTGTGTGGCAGTCAAGCATCGCGCCTCGACTGAATCGGTTCCACGACCGAGTCCGTGATGTCCTGGATGCGCTCGGGCGACCATGGAACTTGAATCCGAGGGAGGAGGCCCGCGACAGCGCAACAGATGCCGGTTTGTACAACCCTGGGTGCATTTGCTACATGAACGCACTTCTCCAGCAACTCTTTCACCTGCCATCGTTTCGCGACCACATCTTGGCCACTCCCATCGACCCCGCGACGTCCCACGCGGCCGAGGAAGTGGCCGAGTTGCAAGCGGTGTTTGTGTCGCTGGCTCACACCAGTCGCAGGTGGCACGACCCGACAGCGTTCTGTGTGTCCCATCGGGACTTAGACGGTCAACCGACGGACCTGCGGGTGCAAATGGATGCGGACGAGTTCTTGGGGATGCTCTTGGACCGTGTCGAGTCGGTCGTGAAGAAAGCTAGCCCCACCGCGACGATCGGGGCCTTGGGGTTTGGTGGTCAACTCGTCAACCAAATCATCACGGAACACGGCCACGTGAGCGAGCGCGAGGAGCCATTCGTGGTCCTGAGCCTCGACGTCCAGCACAAGCATAGCGTCGAGGCGTCCCTTGCGAGCTACGTCGACGGAGAGACTCTTGAAGGCGACAACGCGTACTATTGCGAACAAGTCCAGCAAAAAGTGCGCGCCACCAAGCGCGTGTGCCTTAAGACGCTGCCAGACACGCTTGTCGTGCACCTAAAGCGGTTCGAGTTCGACTACGACACGATGGAAAAGGTGAAACTGAATGACTACGTCGAGTTCCCGACGCAGCTCAACATGGCGCCGTACACGGCGGAGAGTCTGCAGCGAGGCCACAGCGCTGACGAGGCTTGGTACACCCTCAAGGGCGTCGTCGTTCACAGTGGCACGTCTGACATGGGTCACTACTACTCGTTCATCCAAGACCGAGACAACTCGAACGAGTGGTGGGAATTCAACGATCAGGTCGTTCGGCCGTTCAGTGTCGAGCAGCTTCGCGACGAGTGCTTTGGGGGAGACGAAGTCGTTGAGAAATGGGACCCGGCCACTCGAAGTTATGCGTCGGTAGTACAGTCCAAGAAGCGCAGCGCATACATGCTCGTGTACGACCGAATCAGCGCGGATGAACGGCCCCAAACGACGCTTCCAATGTCGGCGAATGCGATGGCTCTCCAGTGCAGCGTGGATGCCGAGAACAGGCACTTTACACGACTGTTGCATGCTATGGATGGTGGTCACCTCCGCTTCTTGCTGTCGCTGTGGCCAGGCACCCCCATCGACCACCAACCGGCCCTCTTGCGCGCTATCATGGATTTGGCATCGCTCCTGCCAGCCGTCTCGGGCCGTTCGTCACCTGACCAAGTTGGACTCGATAAACGAATCGACGGCGCTGCGGCGTCGATAGCTACATGGTTTCTGCAACAGGCCACCGAGGACATCATGCCGCACGAGTCCGCGCCGGTTGTCATCGGCGACTACTCGCATCGCCGAACGTGGCTCTTCGACATGACGTTTTTGTGCCAAGAGCCATCGACTCGAAGCACGTTTTGGAACGTGGCGCTCGCAAATGTCCGCCATGGCGTCGCGACCGGCGACGCCGACATCGTCGTGACGTTCTTGGAACATGTTATCTCAATGTTCTTTCAGCGCGACACAATGGAGATCACAGCATCGTGCATGTCGACCGTCCTGTCCAACGCGCCACTCGGAGCAGCATTGCAACCCGTCGCGGCTTTTCTTGAAGCCGCCATTGCTCTCGACGCACCGGGGGCGGCGGACATCGCTCGGTTTCTCGTTGAGCGGTGTCATATCCTGCATCATTTTGCCGCGTCCTTTACAGTCGACGACTGTCCCGAAGAGTACATGCAACCGATGGCACGAGTGGCCACCTTTCCTGCCGAACAACGGCTGCTCACTCGGCTCGTCCAGGTCGCGCCAGCGCCGCTCGTGCCGTCCACTGACGTCGAATCGTTCCTCGCCCGACTCGCATGCATCGTATCGTGCGGGTTCGAAAAGCTTGTGGCGCATGTAGTTGCCCATGTCGTGGCCGACGATGCCGACGTGTCGTTGATCGTGATTCGAGCGCTGCTCGAAGTCCTCGATCAAGTCAAAGCGACCCATTTGGAGGCCATGTTCAGCATCTTCACGGCCGTTGTCGACGTGTCCGATGCCCATACATCACTTCGAGTTGCCGCGCTGCTGTCCCCGGAGTCCGGGCTGCTGGAAGTGGCCGAATACTTCAAACACCACCGTACGTTGCACCAGTACACGTACTACGTCCTCGAGTTCTGCTTGACGAGCGAGTCGCCTGCCGTCATCGCGTACCTAAACAATGTAAAGGATCAAGTGGCGTGGGTGCGACCGTGGATCTGGAGCTTCCTCCGCAGCGACGTCCCCGTCGGCGACCTGTCGGTGGGACGACGCGAAGAGGACGACTCGGATGCGCACACTGTGTTGGAGCTCACGGAGCAGCTCTTTGGCGAGGTGGACGATCAAGATCACGAAGATGAGGATGCTAACCAAGAGAACGACGACGACAACCAGGCACAACCCCTGCCGGGGGCGCTCTCGGTGGGCAAGCTGATCGACTCGAGTGAAGACGTGCAGCATCGCATCAACCCGGCTGAAGTCGAGTCATAGGTGCTCGAACTTGACCTAATATTTGTTTCAATTGCATGTGGTACTGCTACAATTCCAACGCAGTGGCCAAATCGCCCGAGGTCGATGGCCGGCCTACGGGGTATCTCTTCTTGGATGCTGTCCTTTTCCGTGAGGACGGGACCTTGACAGGCTTTTGACGACGGACATCCTTGCTTCCACTCGCGTCGACGGACAAGGACAGCAGCCGCGTGCGGGGCGAGCTTGCCGGCTCCAACGAGATCTGTACGTCGTCGACTTGATTCAGCCATGGACCCATTGGCGACGACGGCGCGCTGTCCTCGGCCGTCTCGGGCTCTTCGAACTCAACGTGAAATCCGCCAAATGCTAACTGGCTGCGAATCGACTCCAAGTCATTGCATGACCTGTCGAGAACGAACCGAGTGAGGGGATGCGCTTAGCGGTGTTTCAGTAGAAAGTACTTGGAGTGGTCGAGCGCGGCGCCGTCCGTGGCGTTGTTGGATAAAAGCTACGTGGAAACATCATGCTTCAGGACACCCCAACCGTGTTCGAGCAGTAATACTTCGTCGACAGATTTGGATTGTGTGAGATGGGTCGTTGCCGTCGGAAGCGGCGGGCTTTGGTTTGACGACGCTTCGGTTCTTTCATCCGAGTCTACAGATCGTGTGCGTTGGGACACCTCGGACGACGACGATGACGCACCTGGAGGACGCGTTGCTTTCGAACTGTCCAGTTGCTTGGCGATGGTCGGGAGTTTGTCAGCACGCGTAGAGCCGTCCGACGACAACGGCCGTACCGCGACGGTGGGTGCGTCAAGCACGTTCATGTTGTGTCGACTCGTCGAGCTATGTACACGTTCCCGCGGGGACAGGTACACGCGGCGCTTGACGACGCCGTGCGGCAGCGTTGTCGGCGGGGTGCTGCTCGGCTTGGTCAGGTGCAGCGACTGCCGCAGCGCATCGACCATTTTCTACCCCGACGAGTTCCATCGGTCGCACAACAAGCTACACGAAGGAAGGACGTACTTCCATGTCGTCGTCGGTGCGAGGGGACGACAGAACCACCGCGGCTCCCTTGGCTTGCTTTCTGTCGTGGGGAGGCTTCTTGACATGGTGCTGAAGAGGGCGGCCTCTCTTTGGTGCCAGCGACGACGACGTACCGCAACAGAAGAGCAGGTCGCCGCCAGGCACCGTCGACGGCATGGCTAGAATGCGCACCCTATTTATAGTCCAACTCGTCTCGTTTGCTGAGAACGACGAAACGTAACGGGAGCGTGCCACGTCATGGATGACATCGCACCATCACTCGAGTGGCTCAATCGTCGGGAACATTCTCTCGTGGGAGCGGACAGCGCACTGAATCGGCGTCTCCCGGAGATCCAAGTAGAATGCGCGACGCGTCCATTCTAAAACTCGACGCGCCATGGCGAATCACGCTACCCCCCCAACTCCGACGGCCCAACGCGAGAGCCGACGGCGCTCGACCCCGTTCAAGAGCGTCGTACGCAAGAAGTGTGCCCACTGCAGCCGCGTCTTCATTGCCCCTGACACATGCACGGATGTGTTCTGCACCAGCGACTGCTGCGCGACAGCAGCCTATTTGAAAGCGATCCAACTCGCAACTGCGAAGGCCGTCTGCCACGACAACCACAACGACCTCACCAATCCATGGACTCCTCCAGCACACTCCCCCGTTGAAGAAAAGAAGTCGAGCCCAATGGAGATTCCTGTCAAGAAGAATTCGCGCGCGATGTCGACTCCGTCGCCGTCAATGTGATCACTTAACTTATACTACATGTGTCCGTTTACCGTTTGTCGTCGAACTGTCGTCGAGCCGTTGGATGTCGATGCCAATGGGCGGAGATGCATGCCTCTCCCCAACCATAGTGTCCTCGTGGGATCAAGACATACCAGGGACCAGATCTCGCTCGCGCACGTCGCTGCACTGGCGCGCCGTTGACCATTCTTATCCTTCCACACCATCACTCGAGCGTGGAAATGCACCGAACTTCGGCTATCGTCGCTTTTTCGGGCGGCAAAGAACCGAACAAGACGTTTAAACACTCGAGAACGGCGTTTATACTCGTGGAAACGTGTTTAACCACATACGTAAAAGGAAAAACCGACGACCGTTCGTGACAAGGTGTGGCACTCTCCCACAGGAGAAATTCCATTGGATAGGAAAAGCAATCTTGAAAAGTACATGCGACAAACGAGAATGCAATTTAGGTAGTGATTTGTATATGAAGCAGAGAACTGTATAAGGAAAATAGGACAGGTGAGGACCCTATATGCTCGTTTAGCGAATTATCTCCTCCTCCATCCAACACAGTAATGCCATTTTCGATTTTCCCATGTCAGGGACCTGCTGCGACTTGCCACCGACCGCGCGCTCTCTCGATCGACCTTGAACGCCGCCATGACGACTGCAACTACCCCGCAAGTGACACCAACCTCCACGGAGATGGATCGAATGGACTCTCGATTCTCCAGTACAACCATGTTCTTGATGCGCAAGACGTGCTCCCATTGTGCCAACGGATTCACTGTATTGAGTGGAGCGATGGATGGCTCGACGTTCTGCTCGAGCGACTGCCGATCGATGGACATATGCTTGAAGTCTTCGGGTGAAACTTCGCCTGCCTACGATTCCGACGACGGCGATGAAGGAGCTGACTATGTCATGATCAACCAGACCCAATACGGAATGCGCCGCCTCCAACGTGGTGTGGCCCCACCTCGACGCACGTCGAATCCTGTTGCGATTCCGCAACGTTCGGTGCAATACGTTGCAGATTCTTTCGACTATTTCCCCTGACATTGGAGAGCATGTGCCTTGCGCATGCTCATATCCCAAGCGCTGGTCGTAGCGACCACAGTAGCATTCGCGTTTTAACTCATTTTTTCAACCTTTCTACCTCACTAGCGCGAGAATTTTGTTTAGTGCGCCAATCCTTCAAGAGTCCGTCGTTGGAGTCGACGTCAAACACAAATTAGCTCGTGGGCCATTTGGAACTTGGCGGCGCTTGGTAGCAGCTTCATGCGGCGGTTGTCCAGAACTGAGTCAACAATTATATTGTGCATGACGAATGCCACAAGGCAGAGCCCGTGACCCTTGAACACTGTCATAGCTTCGTGGACAGGTGCAATTGTGTTTCGTAATACTACTAAAAGCTCTGACTCGCGGCATTCCTGATGGACACAACGTGAGCAACTGAGGTGCTTCTCATTCGCCATGCTGGAATGTGTTTCGAGTATCGCGCGGTGGTCGACACAAACCCAAACGAGGAGCCACCGAATTCACCAAATTCCGAATTCCATTCGCATGATGAAATGGTTGTGTGGTCCAAATGGAGTTGATCCATTGAAAACCCGCGCCGAGTTACATCAGCAAAAGGCGACGTGGATTTGGCTGATACACTCCGACATCACGTCGCGGCCGCGTTGGCAAGTCATCGCATGGAAGGATTTTGCGGGCGAGGGGATATTGTGACTACCAATGCGACTGAGATGGTTGAACATTGGCGAAACTACGTAGTTTAACAAGCCAAAACATCGTAGCAGTCAGGCACGGAAGACACCGAGAAGGCCTGGATTGCATAACTTCTTTTGGCAATCGCAATCAACGACAACAATTTGGCGACCCTAAGACCGTCGGCTCTCCGCTTCATTCGACATCGCTTGCAAGGACAATCGTCAGCTTGTCCATGATGAAGGGCAGCCAGCTCAGCTCTCGTGCCGTACCCGACTCGAATGGGTGATTCTGGTCAGGGACTTTCAGAGAAGGCGGAAGTAAGAATGAATGGCGGCGAGTGGCTCAATCACGGTGTCACCAGTGCACACAAGCATGGGAGCTACAGCATAGCGCCGCCCATCTCCACCAGTGAAGTGGATTGTTGCCGTACGTGGCAACTCGGGTGTTCGGGAATGTCGAGAGCAACCAAGTTGTCCCGTAGCACACAAGCTGCCACGTCATTCGATCGGATCGTACCCCGGGGTGTGATCCAATTCCAGAGGTTCATACCTCTCTGTAGAATGCATACTTTTCTGCTGCGAAAAAATTAGATACAAAATCAAGTTGTTTAAATTATAGAACGAAGAAACATTCTTACCCCGGGGCACGGACGTCAATATCCTGACACGTGGCTTTGACTTGGTTTGAGTATCGGAGGTGAACACGTGGCCATTTCCGATTATCCGGATAGAGAAGATTCCCGAAAGCCCCTGACACACCGACAACGGTCACATTTCAATATCCTTTCCCCAGAGTAAGTGCCGCCGGTGGCCAATTCTCACTTGATGCGCTTCCGAGACTTATATCGCGTTTGCGTTCTGTAGATCTTCAACATGGTGAAATCTTTGTCTGCTCTGGCCTTGGTCGCCGTCGCCACCACCGTCACTGGTGAAATCTACTTCAACGAAGACTTCACCACCTCGGACAACTGGGTGCAATCCACGTTCAAGCCTGCTGCTGAACGCTCGGACTTCGTGCACACTGCTGGCGACGTGTTCTATGACGACTCTGACAAGGGTTTTCAAACCAAGCAAGACGCTCGCTTCTACGCGGCGACGGCCAAGTTGAAGAAGCCCATTAACAACAAGGGCAAAGACCTGTACTTGTCGTACTTGGTCAAGTTTGAACAAGACATTGATTGCGGTGGCGCCTACATCAAGTTGGCGCCTGCCAACACTGACCAAGAAACGTTCAGCGGCGATTCGCCGTACAACATCATGTTTGGCCCGGACATTTGCGGCAGCACTCGCAAGACCCACTTGATCTTTAACTTCAAGCGCCCGAACGAGTCTGAAAGCAAAAACTTGGACCACAAGACTGACATCAAGGCCGAGAAGGACAAGGACGCCCACTTGTACACCTTGGAGTTGACCAAGGACAACAAGTACAACGTCAAGATTGACGGCAAGGACACCATGACTGGTACTTTGGCAGACAACTGGGATTTCCAACCCCCCAAGAAGATCAAGGACCCCACCAAGTCCAAGCCAGAAGATTGGGTGGATGCTGCCAAGATTGTTGACCCCAACGACAAGAAGCCTGATGGCTGGGACGACATCCCCAAGACCATCCCGGATCCTGACGCGAAGAAGCCTGAAGACTGGGACGACGAAGACGATGGTGACTGGGAACCTGCCGTCATCGACAACCCTGAGTACAAGGGTGAATGGAAGGCCAAGTACATCGACAACCCCGACTACAAGGGCGAATGGGTGCACCCCGAAATTGATAACCCGGACTGGTTCGAGTCGGAAGACTTGTACAACGTGTGCAAGGACTGCGGCGTCATTGGGTTTGAGCTGTGGCAAGTCAAGTCGGGCACGTTTTTTGATGACATTTTGGTCACGGACGACAAGGCTGCGTTGGACGCGCACGAGACCAAGGTGTTGGAAAAGATTTCCAAGATGAACGCGCACCGCAAGGAAGTGGAAGAAAACGAGCGAAAGAAGAAGGAAGAAGAAGCGAAGAAGAAGGAAGAAGAAGAGAAGGCGAAGAAGGACGCGGAAGAAAAGGCGAAGAAGGATGCGGACGACGAGGACAAGAAGGACGACGAGGAAGACGCGGACAAGGACGACGACGCGTCTGACAAGGACGAACTATAGAGTGTATCCCCCCGTTTTCATATTCCACCGTAGTTTTGACCAATTTTATTCAAGTGCCCATGTCCCTTCAGAGAATGCTGGCGCACTGTGGACGCGTCGTCGTTTGGATAATCCATGGTTCCTTGCCCTGTCGGAGGTATTGCCTCTCTATCCAAGGGACAATCGTGGACCTCATGCACACAGGCTCCCGGCGGAACCTTACGCGCCGCTTTATCCCCGCAGAAGAGGGATTCAAGCGGTCACTTCGTTGCGAGTTCGGGTCATGCAAGTTTTTCGCCTGTCTGGAGATATACCTACATTTTGGCAAATATTAGTCGGTTTTTGATCAAATTTTACAGTTCTTGGATATTTTCCTGCCCTTTGAGGATCCCTCGCTTGGAAAGGAATGAGCGCAAGGCGGCGAAATATCCGCTTGGAAGAGTATGCGTCGACGGGAGCCGTGACAAGGGTCGTCGTCGAAAGTGACATGAACGAAGCTGCGCCATGCAAGAAACCTCCTCGATATGCGGCAGCTTCCTCGCACAAAGATAATGAAGCATATCTCGCCGCGTTCGACAACGATCCTCGCCTACCTCGACTGGACCTCCCTGCCGCAAGCGACGACGCCACAACAACAAAAGCCACATCGGTTCCACTTCCAATGCTGGTGACATCTACGCCAAAGGCGAATGTGGCCACCGACGGGTCATCGCGAGCGCCATGGCTTCGAGGACCAAGTGATTCGAGTGGTTACGTCGAGCCGGTGTCGAGCCAACCACTCACGTGCATGAGTCTGGCACCTGACATGACCGAAGTAGTTGTGGGTAGCTGCGACCATGCATTGTACGCCATTCCGTTGCAGCAGCGCAAAGCGTCGAAGGGCAAGAACGGCAGTGGGGTTCGCACGCTGTATTCGAAAACCGCCGGCCATGGCGAGTGGGTGACCGCTGTGGCGCATATGCCAGGTGCGTGTGCCGTCCATCTAAGCCAGTCACCGCATTAATCTGCTCTTAGATGGCCGTGTTGTGTCGGGCGGGATGGATAGCAAGCTCTGTCTATGGGACAGCAACAATCGGTGCGAAGACTTGGTATGTCTTGATGCCGTTGCTAAACAAAGTTCTCATGTGCTCTTGTAGACTGGGCACGCAGGATCGATATCTCTCATCCGACCTTTTACCGAGAATTGGATCGTCAGCGCCAGCTACGACAAAACGTATCGGTTGTGGGATGGCGCGCCAGGGAAGCGAGCAGCTAAAGCTGGCCGCGAACGTCATTGCCTCAAGGGCCACGATGCCCCCATTCTCGACTTTTCCCTCTGGGGCAACCGGCTCATTGGTGGCGACCGCAACGGCTCCGTCCTAGTGTTTGACCTTGCACAGCGTACGATTCCATGGCGTCCTGTGGAGATGCGCGAGATCGTTCAGCTGGTCCGTTAGACGCGGTGGAGCGAAAGGCCAAGGGAGTCCACATCGGGCACTGCACGGCGGTGCTTGGAAGCCAGCATAACTCAGACCACGCATTCAGCGGCGGGCAAGATGGCTTGCTTCGTATGTGGGATGCGCGCTCCAAGGATGCCGTGATGAAGGTGTCCGTGCACGTCAGCCAACGAGGCACCGGGGCCGTAAGTACACGCCACCGACCAAGTTAGAGGTTCCGCTGTGCGATTCGCGTAGGTCAGCTTCATCAAGGACGTGTCGACCATGGACCATGTCATCGTAACGGGCGGAGCCGACGGCAAGGTCCAAGTTGTGGATGTCCGTGCTTCGAACGTGCGGTCGACGTTTTCTCAACACACGACGTTCATCTACTCGGTGCACGTGGACCACGAATTGTGCTTTAGCGGCAGTGGAAGCGGCATGCTCCTTGTGCACGACTTGCGCACGGACGCATTACAATATGGATTGGGCGCGAACCAAGCAGCTGTCCGAGCGATCGCCACGACAGCCACGACGCTCGCGGCAGCGGGCGACGACGGTGGTGTGTTGGTGTATGAGATGACATGAAAAAAAGCCTGTGGGGAACGAGACAAGTTGAACCCGATCGGTCCAGAGAGGAACATGGAGCACATTGCTTTGTGTTGCTGTGGCCATGAGCACCATGTTGCATGCTTGTACACCTGAAAGCTTCCTGCCGATGCCCACGACGAGTACTGCCATTGAAATGTAGAGAGCCATTTCTCCATAGGACGGTGGCAAGTTTGCAGTAAATGCAGTAGGTAGTGCAGCGTCGAGCGAGCGATGCCATGATGTAAGACTAGTTCGAGTGGTCATGGCTACATGATTCCTTGGCATGGAATCCAAGAGTGCGACAGGCCACTTGGCGCGCACGTCGGGGAGCGGTGTGGGCTTGGAGGGTCTGGTCGAATGGGCTGGCCACAGACGGCTTGCATGGGCTAACTACAAATGCAGCCATGAGAAGCTGCACGGCGACGACAAGAGGAAATGGACAGTACTTGGGCACTGCACAGGCCGGCCATGTTTTATGCGGACTTGCTCCTCGAGGCGTGCTTGCGACTGCTTCGTGCCCATTGCACTGTTTCGGAGGTCTTGGACGAGCTTGGTATCGTCGCGGATTTGCTGGTTGAGCGCTCGTTGAAGGCGCACCGACGAGTTTTCCGTTTCGTCAAGGCGAATCTTCGGTCGCAATACGTGCGCCGTTTCCAGAGGACTGAAGCAATGTGGCGGGGCGAACTGGGTAGCCGAAGGGACACTCGAGGTCGTCTTGGCCGTAAATCCAAACGACCCATTCATGCACGCTGATTTGCCTCCGTCTTGTAGCTTGTGCGGGTTTGCAGAAGTTGGAGCGAATATTGAGTCCGTGGTGGTTGGAGGCGCTGAGCGTCGGGACTCGGCGTCCCTCTCCACCACATCATTGCTTCGGTCGATCGTTGAGGACGGTGGAACGTGTCGCTGCAGCAGAAAGTTGGGCAGTTTGACGCGATTCCCTCGGACTCGAGCAATGGGCACACACTTGAGCAACGGGAGCATCATCGAGTCGATGGGCTTGGGCTCCGACGCAATTGCAAGCTCTTTAGCCGCCTAGAGCTCCAATTCATTCATGCAAGTCGGTCCAAGATGCCCAACCTCGCGTTGGCCATGCTGAAAGTCGTTTGCCATGCGCATGATGCGCCGCAACGCAGCTTGTCCTCGCTTCCCGACGATGCGGTGTATCTGCCAAGGTTGGATCAGCAAGACTCCTCACACCCGACGACGCGCTCAAACCGTGGACGAGTGCGACGGATACGTCAGCACAAGCGCTTGAACGAGCTGCGATGACGCTATCACGGATGTGCGCGGTTTCCACGTCGTGTCTTCGCAGTACAAGATGTTGCCGCGGGTCAGCCTCGCGACTTGTACGTCCAATTGAACGTCCTTTTCATGCGATCTGTTCGTCACAACCAGGGCAGTTTGGCTATCAAGAGCCATCGCAGGCGAGGTGGCTGGATACCTGGCTTCCTTGACCGCTCGGACAAGCGTCGCCTGGCTCTGGACAACGCACTCGCCTTCTTCAATCAAGTAGATTGCATCGACGACCTTGGCACCACTTGATCGCGTCGGGACCACGACTGTGTAAATGCCCGTGAAATGACTGAACACGAGCGATCGATCCCGTCCACACGTTTCATTTCGACCGACTGCAAGAGCCACGTACCGTCGTTGCAACGAAAGCGCAGCTTTCGAATGCCGTACCAAATGGAGCAGAGCCGGTCGTCTTCCAGCGCTCCCAACGCGTCACTCTGACACACAGCGCCGTCGCGGATGAGATCATGCTGCCACTTGACGAATTCGTGCGTGCAGGACGACCACGACTTTGAACCTGCTCGACGTACCTGGCGGAGGAAGGCGAGGCGGTCGTTCATTTTGGCCAGCGTTGGCCACGACATGAGGAACTCCCCTTTGTACACACCGACAACATGGGCACCCTCCGATGTCGTCACGGCCAGGATCTGCCGATGTTGTAGTTGTGCCACGATTTCGTACTCGCCAAACCACTCGCCTTCGTGAACCGTCCGGATCTTGACGAGCGCCGAGTCGTTGGTGTCTGTGATGGATGCGAGGGCCGACGGTTCCATCGGGCCAGACGACGTGACGTGAATGAGGTCGACACTGCCGCTGACAACGACAAAGAAGCGCTCGACGGGCTTGCCCTTGTCATGCACTGCCCTCGAAGTCGTGTGATGTGCTGTCGAGATGCGATCGAGGCACGGTGAATTGTACGAACCGACGTAGTTGGGCGCTAGCGTTTGGAACAACGTGCGCTCGCAGATTCGCATGCGAAGGGCGACATCCATCGCTTGAAAGACAGGAACGTGCTTGACGATGTCCATCACGAGGCGTATGCGCTTTTGCCGTGCAAACTCGATCACGCACGGCCAGTGCGATCGCTGCGACCGATTCTTGACGATGTAGTGGATCACGAGTTTCCAGTGTTCTCGCGCACGTCTAGGACCATCGACGGGATGGCCGCATGAGGCAAAACGTCACTGGTTGTGGGTGGGGTTTGTACTCGGAGGAGTTGCGGGCGACGACGATGGCGGTGGACGGAATCGTCGGACCGTGCAAGAGGAGGTGCTCATACCGGGTCCTCGGCAAAACGAGCGCCGTCACTTCGGTGGCAGCCTCCTAGAAACACCGATGAAGGTATTCCACGGATGGCGTAGGACCTACCGCGGTCACGCGATGACGAATGCCCGGATGAAACAAAGCTTTTTCACTCAAGACGTCGCCAGGGCCGAGGCGTGCCTCAAGCTCGCCCAGAGCGCGGCCAGAGCTGGAATCGCTCTCGGCAACCCGTCGCGACGTCAGCAACCGTTCGATGTGGGTTCTTTCGACCAGCTAGGATGTCAGCAACATCCTTGACGAGATCGGACGCACGGTGTCCGAGGTTTTTCCTTGCTCAGCGCCTGAATGGCTTTCATGGGGTCCAAGTCGTCCTTCGAGTTGCTGGCGCTGAGCCTTCCTTCTTGCCATCCTCGGCGCCCAACCACGTCCTTCCTGGCAGGGCCTTGGCTAGAATACCAAACACAATCTAGACGCTGACATGTTCAACGGGCCAGACTGCCCCAACCTGTGCGAACGGCTCCGCCGCCGAATCCAAATGTTCACATGACCCGAGACGATGATGTACAACGCTACATGACAGGTCCATCCACCGTCGAATAGGTGGATCGATGGCAGCGGTACCTTGGGCCTGGTCGCCTTCGGAAAAGACTACGCAGCCACCACCCACTGTAAGCGCCAAACGTCCCTTGCCCTCAAATTCGTCGGCCGTACTCATTTCACGCGCCGAGTACGTCGCAAATGCAAACACCGCAGCGATCGATCCCTGTACGCGGACGGGAAACTTGTCTTTCCATTCGATGGCGGACAGTAAGTGCCCGGTCGCAGCGTGCATGTCGTCGGACGACGGGCCAAGCGGCGGGCCTCTACCCAGTGACACTCGCCCCATCAGGACAACGACGAGGGATGGGGCCGAGTGTACCCAAGCTCTTGCTGCTCGAGCTGGCGCTTCAAATGGGTGGCCCGAAGGCCAAGGAGGTCGTGGCATAGTTTGGCAACGGGTGGTTGTGGTGCGTACACGCGGGGCCACTGGACTATCGCGACTTTGCAGTCGCTCAGTGTCATGGCCGTGTCCTGTTTGATAGATGTGCCGTTGTCCGTGTCGTCGAGGCGCATGCTTCCAATGCAGTCCCCTGGTCCATATGTGCGAACTTGGTCGTGCGAGTTCATGAGGGTGACTGTGTTGGCTGTGCGACCGACGTGGAGCACGAGGCGGCCCGACTCGGGCACTTTGAGGATTGGATCGACCAGTGCAGGGGGACGATCTACATGGGAATTAGCACGGGCTTGACAGGATCGGATTGCGTACGCCCCGACTGCACGACGAGCACTGTCCCAGAGAGAACCACAACAACGCCATTGCCAAGCCTCTCGCCTTGGTCCCAAAGCAAATGATTGAATGGAACGTCGACGACTTGCATCGATTCAAGGACGCGCACGAGCGTGCGGTGGGGAAGCGCTGCAAACGTTGCTGTCGTCGACAGAAAGTTGGCCAGTTTGAACGTGTTGTGCGTGTCCGATTTGGGCTTTGTGGCTTGGTCAAGCACTTGCCGGGGGTTGTACAGCAGCGAGTCGTCGAGCTTTTGCACGAGTGGGGCCACCAAACGACCTGGAATGCACAAAAGTGCCGCCGACACCGTGCCTGGAAGAATCTCAGCCGGGTGGACTCGGATGTACGTAGGTAGGCAGGTACCTTTGGTCAAGTTGCGCGCAACTACGTACGACGACTGGCTGTGCGAGTTGGTAAGTATGGGCACGTGGCCAAAGGCTCCCCCAACTCCCATGGAGCTCAAGTACTGGCCGCAATTGTCGAAGATTTCGCCTCCCAGCGACGCCAGTGGCATCTCGCCGTCGTGGCTGACCGTGTCGTCAGCGTGATGATTGTGTTGATGCAGTGCCATGCGAATCAATGAACTCTGTCGGCGCTGTTTCCGCCGCACCGTCAACCTGTGGATGTTGACCGACCCGTTCAAGATAACGTACATGCTGTTGCATCTAGACTGGACGTGTCATGCGCCGCCGGTCGGGTCGTTCGTACGTACGACTGATCTTGCTGCAGCACGATCGTGCCTGCATCGATCACCCGTATCATGGCTTCTTGTGCGATCACGTCCACGGCATAATGACCGAGCTGCCGGAAGAACAGGCTCGCGTCGCACTGCCGTAGTGCTTTGGCCACGTCGCGCACTGCGGCTGCAAGGCGACGGTGGTTGACGCAAGTGGTGTTGGTCGAGTGCCAAGTACCTGGAGACCGAGCCAAAGGAGGGACTGCCAAGAGCGTCATGAGATGCGCCAACTCGTCGCCCGGTTTTCGTGGCGGGTCCACTCGATCGTGCTGCGCCAACACTTGGACCACATCGGCGTGGTAGAGGACAATCGCTGCAGTCTACCCATGCCCAACAGTCACAAACTACAGCGAGGTAGATGCTTCGTACGGTGTAAGCCGAACGAAGGGTGGCGCTCTGGGCTCCTCGACTTGCCATGGCCTGCTCTCCAAAGCATTCACCACCTCCCAGCTCTCCCACGCACCATCCCAGCGCAGGATCGTACTCCTGTTTGTCCGCGAGCGCCATGGCGGCATTCGCCCCCGACTTCTTTGTGGTTGTTCCGGACGTTGGGGCAGTGGGTTGTGGGCCGAGCAGGCGACAGGTCGACTCCTCCGCGGAATCTTGCATGAACAATTGCACTTTTCCGGCCACAACAATCACAAGGGGGGGGTCGAGGTCTCCTTGGCGACTGAGGACTTCATGGGCCTTGAACGTACGATGGCGCTATCGTGGCCGTCATGGACGGATCCAATGTGAGCGTTTATACGCACCAAGCGATGCCCAAGCGCTTCCACAACGTCTCGCGGAAGCGACCGGAAAAAGTGAAAATGCACGAGGAAGTCGGAGAGATCTCGCACTTGGCGCGGCGTCCTGTTGTGTGGCTCTGTTTCGATCGTGTACAAGCACTGCTGCGGCGTCCAAGTCACGTCGTTGTACATGAGGACGCGGCGGTAATCGTTCTGGCTCAGGACAGCAACCTCTACAATGCATCGCCCGCCCATCAGCACGACGACAGCACCGGAACACACGCACTGGCACTGGACTGGGCGAGGACGGTCGTCTGCCGGCGCATGCTTCCACTTAGAGCTGCCTGCGCCATCGAGTTTGTGAACCATCGCATCACAGAAAGAACGATGGCTGTACTTCGCCAAACACGTCGCCCGTCGTCGCAGTGTGGACGCACGTGCCAAAATGGACATCGTCGTTCGGGAACGTCGCCTGGTGCCACACTGGATACGGCACGTCCGACTCGTACGCAGAGTTCTTGTACGTGCTGACCACTCCTTGCAGAATGAGGTACCCGCCGGCCGCGCCGTCGACGGCGTCTCCCTGGTGGTATACGACCTGTCCGTCGTGCAGCGACGCCACGTGCATGTGTCGACAAAAGTCTAGCGGCATCCCCGTAAGATCACGAATGTCGGGCAGTCCATCCGTACACAGCTTGCTAGTGTACGACGCATGGGAAAATGCATGGACACTTTGCACGATCTCCATCTGCACATCGCGCATGTTTCAGAGTCTGTCCCTCGAATCGATCGCGGCCACCCACCAGCAGCTTCAGGTCGACGTCTGTGCGGTGTTCTTGGCTACACGTAGCGCGCAACGAGTGAGAGCGTGCGGTCATGGGCTGTGCGGACGAAACCACGTACTCCTTCTCGTACGCTTGCTGGAATCGTTCGAGTTTGTGGCGATGCCACGACTGAGGTTCGAACGGTGGGAGCTCGCCCGCCGAGCTCTGGTTTGCTCCCAAGAGGGCAAACTGACTGATGCATCGGACGAGGCAGCGAAGGCGATGCCACCGCTCCTGCGCGCGGTTCATCGGTCGGACGGTTTTGCATGTAACGGACAACTCGATCACTTGCACGATGGAACTGGATTACTTCGTTACGACAACGATGAAGACGGTGCGATCTGTCGAGGCGGCCCGTGCCTAGCCGACGCGGCCTCATGCGCTTGAAGTCGCGCTAGCGCTCTTGGTGTCGCCATGTAAGCGGGCAAGAGGTGTACAACCGCCATTTTAATTTCGTTCTCGTCGCCAACGGCAGCGTCAGCTTGGACGTTGGGAGCTCCAAGTATGGTATTGGGATTCACTATGGCATGCCATATCCGCGGATTTCGCCGCGCTGTGTGCCGTAGCAACTTTGTTAATTGAACATCCAGCTGGGCCACCATCGCTTCGTTCGTTGCGATGGCTTTGTCCGAGTTGTCCTGTCGTTGCAGCGCGCCGAGGGGGACGGCAGACGGTGGAGGAGCACTGAATGCTTGGATGAGGCGAAGCGCTGGAGTTTGGCCTCCTAACAAACTAAGCGGCGACCGCTCGCGCATTGTCCCTGCAAGGAAAACACGGAAGCACCCTCGCGCTTCAATACTGTCGCGGACGCGGAGTTTCACGAGGACGAGTGCGACGAGATGCAGCAATGAAGGTCCACCGAATGGACCGATAAAATTGGCACTCTCGGGGGATTCTGTCGCGTCGGCACCTCGGATGTCCAAGTACGGCAGCGCCGCGTTTTCCCAATCGTACGTTGGTCGGTCTTGCGCCCACCACCGGAGAAAGTCGTATGCGTGTTGGTCTTCATTCAATCGAAGGAAGATGCCAGGCGCGATGTCACGGAGGCCCATGTTGTCACGACGATTCAGGCGCAAGCATTCAAACAGAACGTCGATCGCCACGCGAAGAGACGCGTCAGTGCCCATGCGTTCCAAAGCTTCAATCTGCGACGCCAAGGACAGCATATACGGCCGAGTCTCGTACATGCCCCAGAAACGACCGACACGGAAGATGTCAACGCCTTCGACAGCAAGGAGATCCTCCTTTGCATGCGCTGCTGCGTCGACAGCACGCTTCACCGCAGTGCACGCGTCTTTGTGCGCCCTGAAGTGTTGCATTTGATGCTCGCGACCGCAGTACCGAATCATGTGGCACCGACTGCATCGAAGAAGTGGCTCCCCGCTACCTCGCGTCTGCCGGGAGCACACCGCGCATCGCTCACCGCGAGGCATGTGCGCTTCCTTGATGTGCCTCTTCGGACAGAATAAAATACAATAATTCCGACAAACGTTAAATAGTGTGGTTTATTGCCGTAAGTACACTAAATAATGTGAATGCTACATTCCATGATGCGATTTCACGATGGCTCGACCGACGCTGGTGGTGTGGATGGCGGTGGGCTGGATGGCCATCGCGGAAGCCAAGTCGAAACAGCACTCCAAGGTACCTACCTACTTATTGCTGCTGTCAAGAGAAGCTGATGGCACGTTTCCAGGTGGATCGTATGTGGCGTATGCAAAAGAAAGGGTGCGAGATGTACGAATGCAGCCACTTGAATGAATGGACCAACATGAATTGCGTGCATGAATGCATCTCAGCCGCATGCTACGCAGAAGTGTACGCGTCGGAGCCGGTAGGCAGTGATCGCGTTCAACGGCTCGACGTTGCCTGATGGTCACTGCGATGGGTATTCGTAGTTGGAAGATGGTGAAATCGACGAGTACAGGTACCACAAGTTCCTGTCGTGCATTCGAAATGATTATCGCGCGCGGGCACGGCAGCTGCCAAAGGAAGAGCTGTAAGCGTGAACGAATCCTGTTTTCTGAATGGCATCGAAGCGGACGACGCGGTGTCTTGATCGAACATGGTCGAGTCTCATGGACATTCGGAAGCGCCACCGTCAAATGTGAAAAAACCATGTCGTAACAACTCTTATTCGGCTCACGAGCGAAGCGCGCCATTCGTTTCCAGATTCAAACCGCTTTCTGAACGCTTCATGCCGCCCCCGAACTCGATGTTTTTCGCCTTCGCCACCAAGACAATTGTGCGAAGTTAGCATGATCGTTGCTACATCTACCGTGGTCGTGTTGGACAATCTAGCATCGTCTGCACTGTCAACTACACCCACGCAGTGGAACACTTGGGTAGTGCCATCTCGGACCAACAGGATGGCGGGCGTCGAGGTCATGACGACAGAGGCATGCCAGAATTGCTTCAGTGACCTCTTTGATGAGCGCGCGTGGGAGATACAGGCGATGGATGACGTCGTTACTCAGGATAATTTCACGTCCGTCTTGATGAGCTTGGGACGCACGACTCGAGGATCCACAGCTCCACTCACAACATGTCGAGCGCCATCTACACATTCTTCAATGCCTCGGCACATCATGACATGGTTCGACGAAGCCGAGATGCACGTTCCTCTGCCCGTCCACCCCGTCGTCCTGCAGGCATTGCCCCATTCATTGCTTGCGTAGGGCAGCGTGAAGTAGCCCTTGATATCGACACCGCCCACGTCATTGTTGTGTTTGCCGTCCTGCGGTAAATCTCAATAGGTGGTGGCGGCGGCGACATGTGTCAGCTCGAGTTCAATTGCGATGCGTCAAGGTTGATCCACATCGACAAAGTTCCTTCGGTGAAACGCGACGTGAACTGGTGTAGTCTGGTTTGTTGTCTGCATTTGGATTTGAGCGGGACATTCGATCACGGCCACCATTTCGCGATGTTTTTTGCCATAGATGGTGTCTTGGGCCGGTGTCGTGATCACGATCGAAATGCCGTCGTCGCGGGGATTGCTCAACCCCCCCCAACGTCGGCGATGTCCCCTCGATCTATTCCACTCCATCTCGATAATACCTTCACGAGTGTTGAGCGATCGAGAGATCCAATTGTTTGGAGCGACATGGCATTTCCTTACGCGACGAGTTGCGAATCGAAGAGAATGTCGTCATTGGTGGAGGCCGCCGGAGATCGGCCGCCAAGTGTGCACGCAATGTCACTCCACCGGCATCCGGGTGTGTGCCAAGAGGATTTCACAAAGGAGCATTTTTTTTTGCACTTGGCCATGAGTGCATTGTTCGAATCGCGAATCTGTGTAGCATGCGCATGCGATATCGCCAACTTGCTAAAGGTCAGAAGCGTCATGCCGAGCATTGCCAAAGTGACTTATCGTGTATCGTCGACTGCGGACACGTTGCGATGGGGCCACAGCGGCGTGAGCAACTCGACACTTTTCTCGAACGACATGAACTGGATGCCATTGATCGGCATCGCGCGGACGAGGCACGGCGTGAGGCCACGGAAGAACCGACCGACCCCGCCTTCTTGGAAAAGCTTGGCCGCGCAATCCAACGTCCCTCGGTACTGTCGATGGCGAGGGTCGAGAGCGTCTGCCTGGACGACCGACTTGATCGTGTCTAGCGGGAAACTCGCACACCAGTACATAAAGCCGGCAACGGCACCGGACGCCCCGTACACTTGCATCGGAGACATGGTCGTCTTGGCTTGAAGCAGTTCCTTGATACGGTCGTATGTGAGAAAGTAGATGGTATTGCCAACCACTTCACGGCAGCCCGTTGGCACGAACCCGCGATAGAGTCCCTGGTCGCACGGTGAGAAGAATGCAAAGATGATTGGCGGAAGCTTACGTTGCGAACACCGTACTGCGAGAAGATTTGAGCAGCACATTGGGGAGTTGTTTGGTTCGTGATGGCTTGGGTCTGGACGGATCGGTGACTGTACCACGGTGGGCAATGGTCGGGGATGTACCTGCATGCGAATCATGGTTATTTCAAAGGGGCAATAGATGGACGCTTCGACGACACCGGTGCACGCGGCAGACGCAGTCAAGACTGCTTGAGGATGTGCTTCTGGTGACCCCGCCCCGGCAGACGGAGTGTAGAATAGCCACTTGAACTGGGCCATGAGGCCAAACAACATGGAGCACCCAATCGCCTGCCGCGCGACTTGCGTGGAGGCGCCACGGTAGAGTGACAGGAAGCCCTCTTGTCGGATTGAATGCACGAGAGCTTGCACAGGAGTGACACGTCGACCTGTCGCACCTGCCGACGGCAGGTGCATTTGAGTCTGCATGCGAGACTTGATCGTGTCCAACGGGTACCCCGCCACTGCGCCAGTGACACCAGCGACGGTTCCGCTGAAGAAGTGCGTGATGACTGTCTGCACCTTGCTCAGGATAACTGGACCCGCCTCATCCTCCATCGAGTTGACCCGGTCGGTGTATTGCCCAACCAACCCTTGTCGGTTCGATCAACGCAGGTTTGGTTGAAATGTACATGAAGTTCCAAAAACGTCGAAAATATTATGGAAATACGTAAACAAGACCATGTGATTGGCTGATGAATTCGTCATTTTGAAATACTTCTAATTGGTACAGCATGCTCACCGACAGAATGACGAGACCAAGCAAGGACCCTCTCACGTGGTTGCCGCAGCACGCTGCGACGGCCACCACGGGGTCATCACTTGCACACTCTTCTCAAACGCCATGAACTTCACGGCGCTGACTGGCATCGTTCGAATCAAACACGGCGAGAGTCCGCGGAAGAAGCGACTGATACCGCCTTCTCGGTACAAATGGGTTGCACAGTCTCGGATCCCATGGTGTTTTCGGTGGCGAAGGTCCATGGCATCCGCTTGGACGACTGCTTTGATCGTGTCAAGGGGGAAAATTGTGCACCAATAGACAGGGCCAGCGGCGGCTCCTGCGACGCCGTACACTTGCATGTCCGTCATGCTCGTGTGAGTTTTCAGCATGTCCTTGAACCGTTCGTAGGACAAGAAGTACACCAAGTTGCCAAGCATTTCCCGCGAGCACGTCGGAAAGAACCCACGGTAGAGACCCTAGAAGCATGCAAGGCTCAGACGAGGCGCAAGAGTGCGATGAGCTCGTGGAATCGATCCTTACATTGCGCAGTCCATGATCCATGTAGATTCGCGCGGCGCATTGCCAAGTGTTTTGCTGCATCGCCTGGGTCTTGAACCGTGCAAATCAGTCAGCGGTGTTCAACACAGTGTCCGAGCAAGCTCACCTGCATGCGAATCATGGTAATCTCGAACGGGCAATAGATAGACGCTTCGACGACACCAGTACACGCGGCAGACGCGGCCAACACTGTTCGGGGGTGCGCTTCCGGAGACCCTGGTCCGTCGGACGGCGTGTAGAAGAGTCCTTTGAATTGTGACAACAGGCCGAACAATATTGAGCATCCAATCGCTTGACGAGCGACTTGCGTGGATGCGCCGCTGTAGAGCGAGAGTATGCCTTCTTGTCGTATTGAATGAAGAAATGCTTGCAATGGCGTGATGCGAGTGCTGGTCGAGGAAGCAGGCAAGTGCATCTGGGTCTGCATGCGGGACTTGATCGTATCCAAAGGATAGCCGACGATGGCGCCAGTAAAGCCAGCGACAGTTCCACTGAAGAAATGGGTTATCATGGTCTCCACCGTGCCCAGCGGCGGCGGCGGCGGCGACTCCTCGGCGAAGTCCATCGTCACTTGACTCAGAGTCGGTCAAAAAACGGCGTCGACATTCGCAGCGGGATGACAAGGATGCAATCGTAGAGTTTATTGCTTTTCTATGCAAACCGTCATGTGCTCTGTACCTTTGTCGCGCCGTCTCTCCTTCGGAGGACCACCAATCACTTTCACGGAATCGTTGTATTTTAGCCAATGAAACGTTGCATTGTTTCGGGACACATGAAGGTGCCGCCGCCACCAACGTCGTTTTGGCGGCGCTTGCCGCGGCCGTTCTTCTGCGTCGCGCCGATGGCCAACGTGACGGACGTATCCTTCCGCGCAACGATTACAGAGTTCGCCAAGCCACATGTGAGTTCGCGGAGTCGATGCCATCCATTTGAATTCCTGGTGGTGGCTTCCCACCGTGCAGGTCATGTGGACAGAGTTTGTCAGTTGCGAAGCGCTTTGCTCGTCGTCTCCCGCATCACGTGACCGCATGATGACTGCTCTTGCGTACGCTCCAGAAGAGCGCCCGATCGTTGCCCAACTCTTCGGCTCCAAGCCACACCAATTCCGCGAGGTACCAGTTCGTCCGCCTCGTCGTGTACTAAACGGACGTAGTCGGCACTGTTGCTCCGCGACCTTGGCTTTGATGGAATCGACATCAACATGGGATGTCCTGAGAAGAACGTCAACAAGCAAGGCAGTGGCGCGGCTCTCATCCTGGACCCACTCAACGCCAAGGTTCCGGCCTTGTCCATTCCCAGTCCGATCGGAGACCGCGCCACGGCAGCCAGGCGAACTCAACTGGCGCATTCTTTGTGTGCGTAGGCTATTATCCGTGCGTGTCAAGAGAGTGGTCTGCCCGTGTCCGTGAAGACTCGCATCGGTTTCCACGAGATCGAGTACCATGACTGGATCCATCACATCCTCGACACGGAGCCGGAAGCGCTGACGATCCACGGGAGAACAAGGGACGAAATGTCTGCCGTCCCAGCGCATTGGGATGCCATCGGTGACATTTTGCACTTGGTCAAGGCCAAGCGTCAGTCGAGTTGCGTCGTGATTGGAAACGTACGAGCCGGTCGGTCGATTCCAGTTGTCTCCACGAGAGTGATGCAGGGCGATATCGAGTCGATTCCGCACGCGCAGGAAATGGTCGACACGTACGGTGTCGACGGGGTTATGATCGGACGTGCGCTGTTTGGAAACCCGTGGATGTTCCAAGGCACGTTTGACATTCTCGTTTTCAAGACGCCTCCTTGCATGACGCCCTCCCTCCTGTCTAGGCCATTCCAACACTGCAATGAGTGTCGAAGCGAAGTGCCATGGGCTCTTGCGCCATGTGCACCATTTTGATGTACGTGCGTCGATGCATGATTGCACCATCGTGACGTGCCAGTGTGGAGCGCAGCGGCTGCTCGGGTCCAAGGCAAACTTTCACCATGTGAAGAAGATGTTTGGGTCCTACTTGGCTGGCATCCCACACGCCAAAGTCCTCAAAGAAGCGCTGGCCGCGACTACGTCGCCAGATCAGGTACACCGTTCCTGGCCACGATAGCGACAGCGAACACATGCCTGCTGCGTAGGTGTACCCCCTGGTCGAAGAGTTTGTGGCGAATAGCAAAGAGGCCAAGAACTACCGACGTACAAGATTCGAATAGTCAAACTAGTGGCATTGCATTCGCGTCGACCAGGCATGGAGTGTGGAGCTGCAGTAGCCGAATTCGGTGGCAGGAAATACCTTCGTCAGGGCGAGTACGTGCTGCTTGCGCACCAGCATCTGGACTACATTACCCACAATTTCACGCGATGGAATGCCCTGCGCATGCTGTTTTGGTTGGGACGTATCCGCGGCCACGGATTCCAATGTTTGCGGCCGATAGCGATAGACTGTGCGCCCTCCACGCGGTTCGCGACGCCTTCCTGCTGACAATCTCGTCGGGACGTTCCAGCAACTCTTCTTGACGTTGGTACTGCGACTCCTTTATTATTCACGCAGCGTTTGGATCAATGCGGCCAGCTTTTTCATCGCTGGTTTCGCGGACGCCGCGTTTGCGTCGGTGGTTCGCGCCGGCCAGAAGCCACATGTGACGCAAAAGTCCTGATCCTTGGACGACAAGTCAAATCGACAGGCAGGACAGGGATCGTCGCCGTCGCGCACCTTGGGCACAGCGTCGAGGGACCCACCAAACTCGGTTAGAAAATGGTCGAAGTAGACCAAGTGCTCGTGGTCGCGCAGCACAACGTTGTGGTCTCTGTACACTTGACGCTGTCTCGTGGCAAAGTCCGGCACGTTTGCGTCGCTAAAGTACCCGAGGCGGAGCTGTGACGTGCCCGCACCTTGCTCAATCGGCTCTTTGTCGCGCCACTGCGAATACGCTTCCGGAAACGCTTGGCGCAACACTCGCTTCCCGTACGTTTTGCCGTTGGGGACGGGGGTTTTGTCCTCGACGAGGGTACCCTTCTCCAGGGACAGGGCGAACTCGACGACTCGCGGGTCTAGGAATGGACTGCGCACCGTCAGCCCCAGCGCCGCCGCGAGGGGCTGCGACGAGAACCGCATGATTCGGGCAATGTGTTGTCGATACAACTGGAGACGTTCCGGAGTCATTGCGGCGTAGAAAGAGTAACCTACGACGGGACTTCGTGTGCATCCAAGCCAAAAAATAGAGATGCCGTACGACGTACCCGCAAACAACTCGTCCGCGCCGTCGCCCGTAACCACACAATCGTACCCGACCTCCTTGGCCTTGAGAAGGGAGTGGTAGATCACGATGGCGTTCCGAAGTTCCATGGGGTCAAATGTTTCGAGGATGCGACTGACAATTGGAATATGAACCAAGAGTTCCTCGACTGTCACGTCCAGGCAGTGATGGGTCACCCCAAGCCGCTTGCAAATGGCGCTGGCGAACGTGGCATCTTGGGCAATGGGGTCGGCACGGACTGTGATGCCACCCTGGATAGAAAGAATGGGGATTGCACCGACTTTAACTACGTCGAGGCCACATCCACTTGCTTCTGCGATAATTGACGTATCCAAGCCTCCGCTGAGCAGCACTGCATCAGGCCGCGGCTCCGTGGCCATGATGTCCCAAAGGACGGTTTGAAAGAGCCGGCGGCAGCGAACGGCGTCGGCCGTCGGCGGTTCCAGGACATAGTCGATGGGTGTGTTGGACTGGACGGCAGCAATGATGGCAGCACGAGTGTGGGGAGAGTTGGCGTAATGGAAACGGACTTGGGCGTCACAGTACATGTATGGATGGTTGGGACTGATGCCGACGCGGAGCTGGAACCAAATGGATTTGGCCTCCGCCGACACGGTCTTGAGTGCTTTCGCTTGATCAAACAGGTCTTGCGTTCGCTTGGAGACTTCCGGAGGCAGTGTGAGGATCCTCGGTTCGTGGTATACGGGCTCCGTAGGACCGTCGCAGTGGAACACGATGGCGGCGCGCAGCCCAAACCACGGGCCGTACGTCGGATGGACGCTCAAGTGCGCTTCCTACAGTGCACGCAGGTAACTCGACACGAAAATGCGCTAGTTCATGATACATTCGAGAACGAGGCAAACCCGGACGCGACCACCATGCGGACAGCGGCGATCATCTTCCCAACTTCGGTGTCGTGAACCCAAAAAACCTAGCCACACGAGCGTAAGCCTTTTGTATGGTTGTGGTGACGAGGAATGGCGCGCTGTTGACCTTATTTGCTTGGATGCTGGTGCTGGCTTCCACACGCTCGACCGCTCGAGTCACTTCGACGACGGCATATTCGTTCAGCGGATGGTCCGGCATGTTGTTGATATCCAACGAGTTCACGAATGCAGGCCACAAGTGTTTCGTGTTGCCAACCATGACTAAGAGCGACGATGGCGTGGCGTCGATTTCGTATGCTGGAGGTGCCACCGCGTTGTACATGCCCACGTTCATGGGAATGACTAGGTCGAGGCCCCTAAAGTTACAAGTGAACTTGGGACGTTGTCTATCGAGGGGCCCACCTCGATCTCAACACCGTCTCCAAGTTAGCGCAGAGACTTTTCCACGGCGCAGGAGGTGGTGCGGTCATTGCACAAATTGTCATGCACACAATATGACGCCATGATTGGTTCGATTATACAGTCGATGTGATAAAAATGTATGAAATAGTTTCGAATTTATGGATTTCAATTGGTCTATTTCGTAGTGTTTTCAATCGTTTCAAAGTATGGTCACTGTTCCGTTTGGACATGATGCCGTGCAAGTTGATGCGGTGCGCGGCGTCGATGGCGAAAGGTATGCTGGAAGCACAAGCCTTGCAGTTGATCTGTGGCGTCTGAATAGCGTATGTGCTGCAACGGCGACACCTCACGGTGGTCCCGATGGCGAAAGTCTCGCCATCCATGACAGGCGGCCGCATTACCAAGTGGAAGAAGAACGTTGGCGAGTTTGTGTCGTGTTACGATTTGTTGTACGAGTTCGAAGTGAGCGGACTCACGGACATTGACGAAGAAGAAAACGTCACGACCAAGATGGAGCTGGAAAGCTGCGACGAAGGGTACCTGGCCGTCGTGTTCGACCCCGTGGAGCCCAACACGTGTCCGAAGCTCGTTGCCGGGGGATCTCCTGTCGCCCTGCTCTGCGACTCGACCGACGAGATGCGCGCGGTGCAAGAACGTTTCAAGAGCGTTGGCCCCCAGGTATGATCTGGACATGTGGTCTCGAATGCGAGCCTTCACAATCTCGTAGATGGCCGAGGGCGACCACAACGTCATGCCGTGGCATGCATACCTGTTGGAGCCGCAGCGAAAGGACAATTCATGCTGTAGCTAAATACTGTGTGGAATCTGTCGGTTCTGTTGCCGCTCCTTGGCGCAAACAAAGCGTTCTTGTCCTCGGGTGTCGCGGGGCTGCAGGCACACCGTCACGCCAGAGTTCGCGAGTACCTGTTTGTACCATCGCGTATCGACGGAACCACTGCCGTGTCGGGTCGACAGCACTCCATCGTGACGATATGCTCGTCCATCTTTGAATGCCCCTTTGCGCGTCGTGAGGCAAATCATGACTCAAACCAAGCGTGAAATGAATATTGAATCGAGTGTGGGTTGAGAGGCCACCTATCAACGAGGTCGCTACTTTCGACTCAAGTCCTTGGCCGTGCGATGGGCAAACAAGTTCCACTCCATCTTGGTTTGCGTCACTTTGACACAACATGCTTAGACATGACATGAAAATGGAGACGACGTACCGGGCATCACGCGCCGCATTTCCTTGAAAGTTTCTTCCGTCATGTTGATGTACATGTCTTCGAGATTGCTATGAACAACGTGCTCCTCGGCACGAATTGTGTCCAGCACCGCTTGCGCCAGCGACCGTGCGCCACCACATACTTGAGCAGCCGCGACGTCCTTGTGGCTCAGCAACTGGAGGTTGCCGTCTTCAAAGTAGTGCACATGTAGATCAATGCGACCTGCGAGAGTGGCGGCCGACGAGTCGGGAGATACGTTTGCCAACGTCCATTTGGATTTCCATCGACCGGACCTGACGGAGATAAGCGACAAAGCGGACCACACGATGACAAGTACCAAAAGTTGCGCAAGCTAACGCGCTCGGTGGACAAGATGAGCGTGATCGTCGAGTTGGTCGCGAACACTGCAGCTGCACCCCTACACGTCCAATTGAGACAACGTTGGTAGGCAGTAGTCGCACTGGTTCCCAAATTGCGCAGACATGTACGAGTCGAGTTCGCCTTGAAGCGCCGCACGAAGTGATTCAAGCGACGAAGTGAAATGCGCAGATGCGTCTTGGACGTCCTGTGGAAGGATCTCTTGTGTTACGTGGTCAAAGCCCCAAACTTTTTGGCTGTGTGTATCAAGGTAGTGGCTTGCATCCACCTATACCTCACGTAGAAATTTGAGCATTCACGCATTATTGCCACGTCATTCTGGGATGCAACGCACCTCGCCTTCCTGGCAAATGACCAAACGCTTCGATTCCTCTTCGTTCGGGAGTTGCATTGGCAAGCAGTTTTCCACGTTGTACGTATGCATAATCCCACGCAACGCCGTGTCAGATAGCAACCCGCGCGGCACCAGTTTGGTCACATCTGCATGCACGATTTAGCACCGCTGCTCGCGTCGAAGGCGAACATAAGCAGGTCAGCCACTCGTACCTTTGGCTACTTCCCGCACTTCACCAGGGGGACTCGCGAGCAGGAAGCCCTTCGCCACCGCAAGCTTCTCCGCGTCGGACGCAGCGTCGGCCATCTGAGGATCTCCGTGAAAAAGTGAGGACAGTAGTTTGGCGACACGGAATGTATGTACCATGAATCGGACTTAATCGAGCTGTCATTCCGGATATTAACCGGAAGTTGTTGGTTGGCACCGAAAACGAACCAACTCGTTGATCAGTACGGCGCCGCACCACTTCTACTGCTCGCAATGACGTCGATCCTCGTGCCCAAGCTGCAAGTACACACGACATCGTCGGCCAGCGCCAAGACTTTTGTCTTTCACAATGAAGACCATACGCTTGGCAACGCCGTGCGGTACATGCTCATGCGAAAGTACGTCGCATTGGTTAGATCCAATCGCGTCGACATTGGGATGTTGACAACATTGTGCATGTAGCCCCGACGTGAACTTTGCCGGGTACACGATTCCGCACCCGTCGGAGCCAAAGATGCACGTGCGCGTTCAGACCGTGCCATGTACGCAAACGTGCCATGTTTGTTGCGGCTCGCCAAGTCGATTTTGAAATCTCATGATGCGACGATTGTAGCCAAGACAGCAAACCAAGCGATTCGAACGGCGCTGACAGACTTAAAGGCCGTCTCGCAGCATGTGGACAAGGTGTTTGCGAAGGAGCTCAAGTCGTTCAAAAAGAAGCAAGGCAAGCAGCCTTAGCTTCCAGCATTCGTCCGTTCCACTGACATGAACCAGCCATTATACTAATACCCCTTTGCTTTCAATCTCTTATCGTTCGACCGCCACTTTCGAGTTGCTTCGGCGAAACCGTGCTTTCAGCGTGTGCTTCATCTGGGAAAACTTGGAAATGCCGTCGCCCGTAGTCGGAAGGCGGCCACGCGACGCCCTCGCTTCCAGCGCCCTCGTTGCCGTGACTAGCGAGTTCCGCAGCGTGATGACCATGCCATGGGACTCGCCCAAGTACTTGGCTGCTACTTCCGCGCCCTTCCGGTACGAGTGAATGCTGAGCTCGAGCTTTTTCAGAAACTCCTGCTCGACACCAACGTTGTGGTACGCTATCCCGAGCACCGCGATGCGGTCCAGTTTGACGCTTGCATCTGCGACTGGCGATCCGTGCTGATTGCCCGGGGTTGGTGCTGAGAAGAGCTCTTCGTGGAGCAGAATGAGAGCGGCCTGGGCCTGTTCCAAAGCCCCTTGATGCCGACCAAGTTGCGACAACACCGCGCACATGTTCAAGTGCGTGTCGGCGCGGTTCGGGACATGCTCAAGCTTGGCTTCGATCGCCAATGCTTCTGTCAGATGCGTTAGGGCCTTGTGGAGGTTGCCCTGGCGACGGTAATAGCATGCAAAGTTGTTGAGGGTCACGGCGCGGCCAGCCGGATGGCGCTCCGTGAGGATCTCGGCCTTCTTGAGCAATTCTAACACGATGGGAAAGTTTTCCTGCTGCAAGTACGTCATGGCGAGGAGGTTGCACATGTCTCCGACAGTCTTGCACGCGTCGCGAACTTCGGGACTGTCCGAGCCAAAGAAGTGCTGGCGCAGCACGAGTCCCTTCTCCATGCACTCGAGGGCTTCCGTGTACTTGCCTTCTTGTTGCAGCTCCGTGCACTTGGTGTCGAGTCGTTGCAGCGCATACAGCTCCTGGTCCTCCACGGCGCCGCCGTCGTTTTCATGGGAATCGTCGTCGTGGATTTCTTCCAGTTGGAGGTCGTTGGCGCCGCCGCTGCTGGCCATGTTCGTCGTGCCAGTGCGACGGTCATTTCGTCGTTACGTGGGCATGGTGGAGTTAAGAATAGATGACGGTTGCTAAAGCACATGACGTTGGATATCGCCGGCCTCGTGATTCGAAGAGTCTGGCGCAAAAGACGAGTGCGTCGACCGGTGGCATTTCGAGATCTCTCTTGACCAAGCATCACCATGCTGGACGCCTTCCGCCTGGGCCAGTCGACGACGCTTCCACCCCGCTGGGCCTCCGTCGGCGGCGGGTCGCTATCCTCCCACCACGAGAGCAACCTGCCGCCGAGCGACTGGTGGTTTGCATCCACGCAATTCGTCAAGGGCAAATTCGAGCAGCTCAAACAAGCTCGCGACACCAAGGGGGGAGCGTCGACCAGCCACGCAGCCACCGCCGCATCACAGGTGGCACCGCCCCTCAGCACGACGTTCACAGTGTATTTTCCGAAGTTAGACTACACAGCGGCGTCCTAAGTTATTACATAAGTCAATCATGTCATTTCTCCACAGAGGAGTTAGTTGGGACGGTGCAGCACGCGCTGGACTTGGGGCTGCTTTACGAAGAGGAGCATATTCGTCTCTACAACGAGTTTCCAGGGTGAGCGATACTAGGAGAACGGCACCAGATCAAGTACCTGCTTGATCGACCAGTTCGTCCCCAGGAGTTTGCGCGTGATGCAGTGCTATCGACTTGTACCCTTCTGTGATCGCAAACAACTAAACCAGTCCATGAGTGCGTCGTATGCGCCGGCGAGTGTTTGGTGTACCTGGTGCGGATCTGGTCGTCGAAAAAAGTTGGCCTCCATTTGGGAAACGGCAGCAAGGGTGAGCGGCGGCGCTTCCCCGCTTAGCAGCTTGGACACTTCGTTGAAGCTACCCACGACCTTTTGCGACAGCTACCACCAGCAACTTGGGTCAGCACGACCTCCAGGACACTCGGGTACCTCCTTTGTTGCTTTTTCCATGTTAGCGAAAAAGGACGACATGTCAAACCCATTCGCCTTCTTGACGTGGCGGGGCCGCGGGTCTTCTCCTCCATGGTCGAGCCGGCGCTTGGCCGAGTGCTTCTCCATGTACGATTGAATCATCGCGACGATGCGCTCGCTGCTTTGGGAAAAGATCGGCTTGCATGGAGCTCCCGCAGTTTTGAAATGCACCACGAACGACTTGTTCTCGCCGCGCTTCAAGACAACTCGAGAAATGTCCTTGAGGGAAATGACTTGGTGCAGTACTGCCAAGTCATGGTGGTGCTGCGTCATCTCGATGAATCCAACGTCACAAATGTCAAGGGACTCGTACATTTGTGGGACCAAAGTGGAGAATGTACAGCGAAGAGGGAGTGACCCCCAAGAGAATGGCAGTCACGACGGAGCCATTGATATCGTTCGCGTGATATAGCGTGCCAGGGAAATGCGCGAGTGGAAACACAGTACTCTCTGGTGGGATAGCACGAGGGCGCTGCGAGGGCGGTGACTGGACAGGTTTTGGTACCGGTGTTGGTGGAGGTGGCGGTTGGGGATCAAACTAACCAAGAATTAGCATGACAGAGAGTACAGATTGTCGTACGATGTGCATTTGCTTGATGAACTCAGTGACGAGCATGGGCACGGCTTGGAGAAAGTCGCACTTCAAAGGCGTGCGCAGAATCGGAAGGTTCAGATGATACGTGGTCGACATCCCTGATGTGGATTTCGTGACGAGTTCGTGCGGGACGTAGATGTGGGTGTTGGACAACACTTCCACCAAGAACTTGTGGTCGACTTCAGCAATCCGAAGGTGGATCATCGGTACGATCTGTAGCATCGAGCTATGCTCGAGAAGTGGGACGAAGCATTGCACCAGGACCGACGTGAATGATTCAAAGCTAAACGAGACTCCCGCAGCATCGCGCTCGTCCATCTGTAGTTTCAATTGCAGGAGAAAGGTATCAACTTCTTCGTTCGCTGCATCCATTTGAACATCCTCGATGTCATCTGCATCCAACGTTTCGTCCATCTCGACGTCTTCCACGACAATCGGCGGCTTGTTTGCTGTCGTCATGGACACTGTCACTTCGAGAGTATTGATCATGTTGAAGAGGTTTAACCGTCGAGCATCCGGATGATCGATTTCGACAGGATCCCAAGAATTCCTTGCGCGCGGTCCGAAGCGCGACGCCCATGGCATCCAACCCGAACGTCACCGACTGCATGAATACGTGAGGTCCATTAAGGATTGCATAAGTTAGTTCTACAAGCCACGACGACAACGAGACATACCCATCTACATGCCGGAAGGAAGCGTCGACGTTTTTCTCTTCTTCCGAGACATGAACATCGACCGCAACATTGTCTTCTTCTGCGGTGTACAACACTGGGCCACATGCTGCCAAACACACCACACCATAAAAATCGCACTGCACACGACGAGATCAATCCACCAGTTGCGCCACAGCGGGAGCGGCGTTGGAGCAGGGCTCGTGTCCACATCACCGAGGATTGCGCCGGCTTCAATGGCGTATCGCACTGCCTTGGATTCGGCTTGATGGATGTTGACGTGACTCGCCCCGTTGTCCGCCCAGTCGATCGTTTCCATGGCGACCGGAACCCATGGCCACTGAAATCCCCAACATAGGTAGCCGTCTTGACGGCCTTTGCATTCCGCCGAGTACAGGCTCGGGTCGCGGCCGTTGAAGCGCAGAATGTGCGTGAAGAGCGGTACTTGGTATGGATGCGCGGTTAGCTTGACTTGGTTGCGATGGAGGAACAGCATGTTGCCGTCGGGATCGTACTGGACCATGGCGAGTCCACAAAACGAAATCCACCGATACCACGAGTACATGCCAGCGTAGGCAGGGGGTGTCTGAATGAAGTAGAACGACGTCGATGCATTCCGCCATGCAAAGCGAAACAAATCCTTGTCTCCGTACAAAAACTCCATAGACTCGATGAGGGTCCCGTTGCTGTTCTTGGTCGGGCCGAACGTGTACGCCATGAGCTTGTGCAGCGCGTCTGTGGCGCGTCGGCGATCCACGAGCACCTGGCCGCTCTCTTGTTCAAACATGTCGACGAAAGGCATGTCAACATACTGCCACAACAGGCTCTGCGAGATGACGCTGAAGATGGTGTGTTTCGGCTGCCACAGATCCGGCCAGAAGATCGCGCTGTGGGACGCAAACACTGGCGAGTCGAAGAGATACGTTGGGTCGCGAAGGGGAATGTTGTCGCAGTCCAAGAGCAGCACCTGGTCGAATGACGAATGGTACACGGCGTATGGTTTGGTTCTGAACTTTGTCGCGCGGGGGTCGGTGATCTCGCGCAGCGCAACACGGTCGTCGCTTTGAAGGAGCGCCTGGACGAGCACGTTCGATGGCGCGTGCAGTTCATCCGGTCGGTAGAATATCTCGACGGGTAAAGTGCACCCGAATGACCGAAGGAGCTTGATGATCGCAAACAGACCGGGCAGCGCCTTCTTGTACACGGAGAACACAATGCCGCGACGGACGCCAGAGAATTGCGGCGCCGGGTCGTGTGTGTACGTGGCGGCGAGCTTTGGAAAGTCGGTGAACTCCTCTGCCATGTTGCACGTGTACGTGAGGAGCCCGATGACACTGCGACACGTTGACGCCATCACGCGGTACACTTGGAGGCTAGTGCGATTGCGAACTTCACAGAATCCAGAATCCCCGAGGGCAATCCGGGCATCGCAAGTTCGATCGTATTGTGGTGTACGTTCGCTGCCAGGATCGCATCCCGCTGTGGCGCGCCATCCAAGGCATTCGAAATCGTCACTCCACAGTGCTGGCACGCGATCGTACGGTAGGGGGTCCGATGAAAGCGCTGTGTCTAAAGCTGGATTCATCATCATGGCTTCGCGCATGTAGTACCAGACGCCGTACGCGATACCAGCCGCCGCAGCTATACCACCAAACGCCAGCAGTATACCAAGCCCAATCTTCCGCCACTCGGATAGTCTTGGCTCTGGTCGAATGTTGATGCTGACGTTGATGCCGAGCATGAGCGGTGCTGTGTCATGGCTGTCGTCACCGTCTCCCGGAAGTGTGAGAGGAAGGTGATCGCGCCGCGCCTGTTGCTGCATCATGATGGTTACTGCAGAGACACTGGTGGAACCATCGACTACTCCGGCAGCATCTCCCATGAACCATCGAATTAATGCATTGTTCGATGTTTATCTAAATTAGTATATGCATCCGCCCCGAACTTTCGGCAGTCATTCGATGCAAGTCTATTTGCAGCACCTTATGGCCTCTTTTTCTCCTCCACCGTCGAGTTTCGTCTTGACGGAAACGCCGGGGAGAAGATATGGCAGCACATGCAACCTCAAGAGATGCACAGACGCGAAGGATGCCAAGTTAGGATTCACGATAGAACTCTGCCTGGAGACAGGTTGGCTTGGTGAGTTTGGCCGAGATCTGGGCAATGTCGCGGTGGATGTCGGCGACCTTGGTTTGGAGCTTTTCTAACTTAATCGGGTCGAACTGCGACTTGGTGTAGAGCGCGTTGCGGCGGCGCTGGTAGATGAAGTCGTACACGTTCTCATACTCGTACTCGGACTTGGTCAGAGTCCACCAAAAGTAGCTCAGCACAGACACCCCGAATCCGGTGAAGTACGTGATCGGCTCCATGATATCCCACGAATACTGGACGAACGTGAGCCATGCATAGAGCCCGCCCATCCCGACCAATCCTGCCAATGCCATGAGCATCACATGCAAATCTGATGTCAATGTGTACCCGCCGAGCTCAAGTAGCAGTAGATCGCGGTGCGTTTGTGCGCCGACTCGTCCAGTTGTTTTCGCAAGTGCAATAATGCGTCGTGTTCCGGCATGATGGCCGCCAAGTCCGCCTCGAGTTGCTGGCGCTACATCCGTTATTCGTGAGCATGCAGTGCCTTGAACCCGGCAACATGTACCTTTTCAATGTATCGTTGGGTGGACGGAGGCGTCAACCCCAGCGAGTCGAAGTAGCCGTCCAAAATATTGCGCGGTTTGAGAAAGACCGCCGTCTTGAGCTCTTCGTCTGATGCCTACGACGCCACACTCATGAAAACCACAGCTTTCCGTGACGCGGTTGCAGAAGGGAGCACCTGGGAAAAGTGGAAGACGAGGCCGACTTGATGGAACGCATGGAGTACTTGGCTCGCTTGCTTTGGGGGAATGCCATGGTCCGCTGCGATCTTCTTGAACTCGGTAATGTCAATCTTCCATTTCCTACGAATCGTGTCCAGGTTGGTGCAAGTCGTCCAAGAGTGTGAATGAAACGAACGGGTGGTTTGCGATAGTTTCCCGCAACTTGATGATGGCAGCCTTGTGCGCGATTGCACGCATGTCCAACCCTCCGTCTTGTGGCAGGCTCGTGTACGCATCACCAGTGAAGACTACAGGAAGCACCAGCCGTTAATACCTCCCAAAGCATGAACTCGCGGATCTACCTGGAGCCGCGACACGAAGCACTTTGTCATTGAGCACAACTTGGAAATCGTCCGCCATGAGGGAGGTAAATTGCGTTTCGGGCGCGACGGGAACGCCTTTTTGGGTTCGAATCTGCACCTCTTTGGCCGTCGAATCCTCCAATTGCACTTGCGACACAAAGCTCGCGACTGTTGTCGTGGGTTGGAGACTGAAGAGCTTCATCCCCAAACCGATCTCGCTGTGAGGATCTTCCATCAAAGGCAACGCAAGGGCCAACGAGCCATTAGCTTCCAGGTACTTCAACTCGAGTGGTTTGCCTGCTGACCCAGACCCAGCACCAAAGCTACCAGTCGTTCCCAGCGCGGAGCGCGGAATTGAGGAGAATGACGCCAAGAATGGGAGCACTGAACCCCGTTTTAGTGTAGATATCGACGAGGGGAGGCGCATGGCAACCGCCATGGCGCCGCCACGCACCAGCCTGGCCGTGATCATGAGGACTCGGTCAAACTGACTGTCACCCCAGTTTCCAATCGCACTTAAAAGTCAAAACCATGAATGTCGAACCTTACAGAGTCCAATTGCTCGACGCACAGGGTACGGTAAACTTATGGACGGTACAGTGTACGGTACAGTAGATGACGCAAACTTGCCCACGTCTGCAGCCAATCAAACGTAGGAACGCTGAGGAAGTCCTTGGTCGCAATTGGAACTTATGACGGACAAGAAGGACGCACCGACGAAGAGCTTCTTGACGTCGCTGATCGTACGTACTCAAGGAGCTCTTCCATAATGGTAACGACTGGGCTCAATGCGCGTACGTAGGCGGGCGGGATGGCCGGCACAGGTGTCGATGTCGCGTTGTACCCGCTGGACACGATCAAGACGCGCCTTCAGAGTTCACAAGGCTTCCTGAAAGCCGGCGGGTTTAAGGGCGTGTACAAGGGTCTGTCCGCGGCTGCTGCGGGCTCTGCTCCTGGAGGTAGCTATCTTTGCAGAGCGATGCACTAGAATGTATTATGCTTCGTGCAGCGGCGTTATTCTTCAGCACGTACGAAACAACAAAACGATTCTTGCAACAGCTACAACCCCATCTCGCCGACTCCCCTGTCGTCCACATGGCATCTGCCGCCATGGGTGAGACGGTATGCAGTCAATGCGAGATGGATGAGACAGTATGTTGACGATGGACGCCGTAGGCGGGATGCCTTGTCCGTGTTCCGACCGAGATCGTCAAGCAGAATCTCCAAACGGGAGCGTTCCAATCGTTCCAAGAGTCGATTCGTAGCATCTACGGAACGAGCGGCGTGGCGGGCTTCTACCGCGGATACTGGAGTTTGCTGGCTCGCGAGGTACGCCAGAGTCTTGGGCACTTTTCAAAGTGCCTCACTCTGTGTTGCCTCATGCAGATCCCTTTTTCGTTTATTCAATTTCCTCTGTGGGAAGGCATGAAGGTAACTACTCCTTTCTCATCAGGCACCAAATGGACACGACCCACCCGTAGACGGCATGGGGCCACCACCAAGGTGAAATCGTGAGTCCTGTCCAAGGTGCAGTGTGCGGCTCGATCTCGGGCGGGTTTGCGGCGTTCGTCACGACGCCGTTGGACGTTATCAAGACTCGTCTGATGCTGGGCAAGGACGCGCAAGGCGTCGAGTACCGCGGCATGCGTGACGCGTTCACACGAGTGTACACACAGGAAGGATGGCAGACGTTGTTTTCGGGCGTCAAGCCTCGAACTACGTGGATTACTATCGGCGGATTTGTCTTTTTCGGAGTGTACGAACAAGCGTCGGCGACGCTTCCATTCTAAGGTGTTCGATACATGCGATTCCTACAAAATCTTGCAATGGCATGTTGTTCACGGTAACGGCACCGCTGTGGGTTCAGTCATCGCATCCTCCAGCTCGTCTTGCTCGTCCTGACGAACGATCATCGCGAGAACGTCGGCTTGGGACATGGCCATCGCGTCTGCGCGGTGTCGAATTTGTGTCGCGAGGCTTCCAAGGTGCAGGCCCCATGTCTCTGTCGGCCACTTGGGGTCGTTCAACGGTACTTTGAATTTGGTAGCGATGCGCAGATGGCCGAATAGTTTCTCGTGGGTGCGAAGGGCCACTACGACTTGGTTCCATTGATGGTCTAACGGGTCCCAGATCATCCCGACGTGGTCCAGGGCATCGTGGTGAGACCTTGGTAGGTCGTCCATGCGGTTGCGGGTCGAATGGACAACAGAACCCAGCGCCAGGCCCCACGTGTGCTCGGGATATGATGGGTCTTGGTCAGGAATGACGAACCGCTTGGGCACAAGGGCATCACCATGCTGCTTCACGTACGCCGTCAACGCGTCCAAGTTCCGCGCCCATTGATGGTCCCATGCGTTCCACACGAAATCCAATGCATCCAGCGCGGCGCGGCGGTCCGGAGGCATATCGTCCGCGCCGATATGCCGCCAGGACGCCATGACGCGTCCAAGCGGTAGCCCGTGCATGTGAATAGGCCACTCGGGATCGTCATCGGGCACGACAAAGCGATATGGAACGTGGGAGTGTTCATGCAGTCGGATGAAATGCTTGAGAGCTTCAAGGTTGGATTCCCACTGCGTGTTCTTGACGTCCCACGTGAACCCTAACGCAAGGAACGCCGCTTCGTGGCCGGGATGCAGCAGGAGATGACCGGTCCGCATGTTGTGGACGGCAGCACCGAGAGAAAGCCCCCACGTGTCCGTGGGCCATTGCTTGTCGTCGCGAGGAACTGTGAAATTGCGAGGGACGTTCAAATGGCCATGCAAATTCTTGTATGTGGTCAACGCTTGCAGTCGAAGCGCACTCTTGTGGGCGTTGACATTCCACACGAATGATAGCGCATTAAACTGACGGACGAGAGCTTGTGGCACGTTGCGATTTTTGTATTGCCGTCGCAATTCTGAGACAGCGAGACTTTTCCCTCGGAGGTGGGCTGGAAAATCATCATTGTCAGGTACGACAAACCTCGACGGAAGCGAGGTGAATCGATTTTTGGACTTCGCATGCACGACCTTCGCTACGGCGAGTATATCTTCAAAGGATTGAGTTGTTGCGAAGAAGCGGCAGCATGATGTCAGCACGTAGGGTACTCGCCAGTGGTGGCCGAATCGGCCAAGCATGATGGTGGAAACGATCGCGATAGATAAAAAATAGCAAAAATATTTTTGAAACAAAAAAATATCATGGTGAATATTCTGTTTAATATTTTTCTAAAATCTCTATTTGAATAATTATATGTATAGAATGTACAGTATTATATTTTTAATTATATATGCCTCAATTTGATCAATATTCTTTTTTAAATCAAGTAAGTTTTCTATCTCTTTTTAGTATATATTTTTTATAGCTTACTATATTTTACCAAAAATTGCTTTCAATATTCAATTTTTGATTTTTTATAATATTTAAAATAGCATTGTTTTTAAAATGTCTTGCATGGGATTCCATTGGCCAAAATATTTATTTGTCTCTCACTCGTGAGTGGGCAAATTCTCTTAGGTTTAGGGATTTCTGTGTATGCGTTGTCCGAATATCCGGATAATCCTTGGCTTGGACAACACAGAAATCAATGACCAGCACGGCAGATCGTTCCGAAGTGGTGCGGATTCCTGTGTCGACCACGAGCTCGGCATGCATTGAACTGGAATGCGACTGGGGCGTCGGTATCGGGGGGTCTCTATGGACGAGTGGGCGCTTGCTCGTTGACTACATGGCTCGAAACACCCACGAACAGAAGGATCTCGTCGGCCGCACAGTTCTCGAGCTGGGAAGTGGTACAGGGCTGGTTGGGCTTGCCATGGCCCACATGGGCCCAAGTCGGGTTATTGTGACGGATCTCGACACGCATGTAGCATCTATGGAGCGCAACCTTGAACGGAATGCTTCGTTGTTTCCATCGGCGACCAAGGTCGAAGTCGTTGCATTGGACTGGACCACGTTCACCGCCGCTGACGCAAATGCCTTGAAGCCAGTGGACTTGATCGTCGGTACCGACATCGCCTACCTTCCCGAATTTTATGAACCTCTACGACGGACGTTGGAGCTGCTGGTAAACCCATCGTCGACGCGCATCTTGCTCGGCCTCGGTCGCCACGACACGGACATGCGCTTCTTCCGCATGCTTGTGGACGCAGGATACGAATACTACAAGATCTCAGACGACTTGGTCGGGCCAGAGTACCGCGGCAAGGACTTTGGTCTGTTTGATATTCGAAAAGCCGGCGCATTTGACGACAGCACAAGCCATTAAAGGAAAATGTCGAGCTATCTGTTCAAGTGTGTTGCAAACCGAGTCACAAGCTACGCGCGAGCTTCAACACGCTACCAAAGACTGTGCTGGCCAGCAAACTTTGGCTACGTCATGCTCAAATGAGTCCTCACGTGGGCCACACAATACTCATACCTTTCGTCCGATACAAATGACGACCCACCGATGACGAGCGGATGCGGCTGGTGCCGGCTCGTGTAGAATGCTAACGCGCATTGGTCGGCCATGAGCCCAGCAAAGGGGTGCGGCGTCGCAAGGGATTGCACAGCGGTGGAGATCCCCCCCGCGTCAGCATTCAGGGTCGTCACTAGCCTGCGATAACGCATGAGTCGTCGCACGGGCCCACGAGGCTCTCAAACGAGATCTCGAGAATGAGAAGCCGATGTACCTTGTGTTGGACCCTTGTACCAGAAAAGGGCGCAAGGCGCCGACTTGCGATAGAATATACGCCTTGACATCGGCCACTGTCCACGACTTCCACGCATTGGAGGGCGGCATCAGAAAAGGCGACGCCATCTATCAACACCGCCAACTATTGCTAAATTTGAAAACTCGCAGTCGTTGTACCTTGGCAGCATTCACATCTTCATTGAGACCAAGTTCCCGCGCCACGAGCACCATCTACACGAGTCCTTTATAAGTGAGATCGCAAGGCCGAAGTTTCAAAAGACCTTCTTCGTTGCCCGAAGGCCGGTGAGGTCCTCGACCATGTCTTGGGGGGATAGCCCAGCGTACTGCTTCAGGACGGCATCGACGTGGCTGTCATCTGGGCTCGACGAGGATTGGAGCTTGGCCACGACTGCATTGAAGAGCGAGCTCCACGACGATTCGACCCGTTCGACGGCGTCGCCCGTCTGGAGCAGGTTTTGAATCGTCGACAGCACGGGCACCGCCATCCCCAAACTTGCGTTCAAATCCAGCGTCACCTTGTTCAGCGACTGAATTGCCGCCACTCGCTGCTGCCACGACGATGGCATGTTGGCGACATGCAAGTTAGCACTCACCTAATGAACAGTTGCTTCATGAGTCCCTCGTACGATGGAACGACAGCGCGTACGATGTGGCAGTTAGCGGCAAGCCACGTTGGGTACTGCGCCAGCATGGCCAAGTCATTCGACAGATCGACGATGACCGAGTGGGGAATATGCTCCACTTGAATGCGTTGGTGGAATTCGGTCGTCGGTGTCGATACCACGGCGCTGCATCCAGGCCACATTACGAATCGCCGCGACGTATTGGGGACATACCAGTTGGCGAGCGATGCCGCATCAAACCCAGTCGCGTGGCTCCGCACGTCCACGAATTCTGGGGTCGTGATGGACGCCATGGCACACAGTCGCAGGTCGACGTTGAATCGGTCGACGAGATTGCGCGATTGACCGAACAACTGCGACTGCAGCGCGAGCCCGACAGCCGTGGACACAGGGCTGGACAGGACACCAACACTTACGGCATGGTCGGCCATGAAGAACGCCGCGTGCACCGCACGCAATGCTGCGCCCGAGTCTTCATACCGAACCACCTGCATCAACGATCGCGATGATGCTCACAGAAGCTTCCCCGAAACGTGCCAACTTACCGCAGAAATGTTACGCTCGGACGAGCCCTGCGAAATTGCGAGGACGTTGATCTTGGCGCGACCCAGCGCGCCAAAGAACCGCGCGCACACCCCTGGGGTTTCCGACATGTTGTCGCCCACGGCCGCGATAATGGTGGCTGGTGCAACGAACGTGACCTCCTGGCCGCAAGAACAACGTGAGCATTGACGAGCTACGTCGAGTCGTACGTCGATGAGGTCGTGGTGGAGCTCTTTGAAAAAGGCTGCTTCTATGGCTTCCTTGGCGTCGGGCGCCTGCATGTACACGCGTTCAGATTTGTCCGACGGCAGAACTCCTTACATGGATGGCTGGAATGGCAAAGCAAATGGAATGTTCCGAGCTAGCTTGGGCGATCAGCACCACGTTTACTTTAATGCGATCCAGCGCGCTGAAGAGACGAGAGGCCACACCATGCACGCCGACCATGCCGCTTCCTGCGCATTTTCATTTGGTCAGGTTAGCAGGGCCCTCCATGATGTTCGACGAGATGACCTTCGAGATTGAACAGTGCCATGTCGTCGACGGTCGAAAACCCACTCACGATCGTCTTGGCTTCCGCGAGGGACCCGGACATGGACCGCGTGAGTGCGCGGCGATGGTAGATGCGCGTGCCTGGATGCGCCGCGTCGAACGTGTTGCGAATGAAGATGGGAATGCTTTGCGAAATCGCAGGTGCCATCGTCTTGGGGTGGATTACTTTCGCGCCAAAGTACGCCAGCTCCATCGCTTCTTGGTACGAAACATGGGGTAGGATTTGCGCCTCGGGCACGCGACGCGGATCAGCGCTGTACACACCTGAATTCTCCAGTAAGGCGATCGGCAAGTCCCAGCGCATGTACCGGAGACATCGGTCCAGATCGTGATCGCCGCAGCGTTCAACACACGGCCAAATATCGACGCAGAAAAGTCGCTTCCGTCGCGCTTGAGCGTCGTCACAACGCCGTCTGTGGTCGAGCAAATGAATCCTGTGATCACCAGGTGCGTATGGTTGCCGAGCTTGTCCATGTGCGCGGATAAGCGCTGTTTCGTTTCGTCGTATTGCACGACCGGTCCATGGTTGTCGTCTGGTTCGACAACCAGCACCTACGCATAACCGAAGGTTAAACAGATCCCCATCGACGACGGACATGCCTCGCGTGCATCGACAAAGGCAAACCGTTCGGTCTTTCCGTTCTGAATCATGTGCTGGTTCAGCACCGCCGTGAGAATCCGCGCCGACCACAGCTCACCGTGTCCACTGACGAGCTCCGTGACATTTTCGTTGTACGAACGCATGATTGAGATGGCGCGGAGCAAGTCTTCCAGCGTTTTCAAGTCGGCGCGTATACTGTCCAGGATAGGCGCGGCCACATCGTGTGGTAACAGCGCCGCCATGGCCTCGTCGTGCTTGCAGAGAATGCTGTCGATGATCGACGAAATAACGTCCTGTTGACGCGTTTTGGCGAGTTCAACGAGCGAGATGAGCAGGTCGGTCACTTTCGGTTTGCCGCCCATGGCGCTCACGACAACGGCAATTCTGTCATTCGTGACGTTTGCCACAATATTCTGTACGGCCTTGATGGCAGTGGCACTTCCCACGGACGTGCCGCCAAACTTGTGTACAACGAACTCAGCCATCTTGAACAATGACGCGCAACCTCGGTCGGGCTGCGCCTCTACTCGTCGATGGGAAAACTCCTGTGGACGTTCCCCGGCAAGATTGCAAAATCGCACTTCCTGGCCTGTGATTGGTCAATGTCTTAGCCACGTAACGTGTGGGTATTCTTGTGATTGGATAAAACATGGGAGGTGTCCTTCCTGATTGGTAGATTTCAACAGAGTGAATGGACATCTATTGGATAAAATTCAAAGAATGCAGCATGTGATTGGATGGATTCACGGGTTAAAATACCAATGAACACGTCGTGTACAAGTGGAAGCCAAACAAAGCAAAGAAGCATGTCGACTCGACCAGCGGCCGCTGCATCGGCGGAGCTTCCTGTCATGGCATCCAACCCAGGACAATGGGAAATGGGGGTGTGTTGACCGTCACGGGAGATGTACAATAGTCTAACCCAACGTGATGGTTGCAGGAATGCACGGAGCTCCAGAAGGCATCGCTCAAGTGCATTGAAGGTATTCACCGTACAAAGTCCACCCTGCATCGACGGACGTTCTCATGGAACCTTGGCAGAGAACTACACCCAGCGAAGCAATTGCAACGAGTACTTTGAGCGCTACCGCGAATGCAAGAAGGTATCCCTGTCACCCTTCATAAATTCACCTCACAAGTCTTCTACGTACAGAAACGACATGCAGCAATCCTCGCGGCGCGTCGTGCGGGCACCTTGAGTTAATCAGCATCTAGTCCTTCGCTTTCGATTTCATCTTGAGTTCGTCGAGGAAGCTCATGGGCTTGGTCGGTACCGCCACACTTGGTTGGGGTGTTGGTGCACCCGCCTCCACCTTGTCTTCCATTCCGGGATTCTTCCCTTCCGCGCGACGTTTGAGCTCCTCCAGGAAGTTCACGCCAGGTTTCTTCCCCATAGGCGATGCTGGCGGTGTCCCTTTGCTTGACCGCCGCCGCTGAATTTCGGCCATCATGTTTGGTTTGGACAAGTCTTCCAGGAGGTTGGGATCATGGAGCATGGATGGACGCTTGGCCAGAACGGGCTTGGTGGCCATACCCATGAGCTTCATAAGCGCATGCGACTTGGGCATGGCGGCGGCATCGGGAGGCGGCGCTGGTCCTTCGTCCTGCATTTCGTCGCCGTCGAGAATGACGCCCATCTTGGGCAGCGAAGTCGTTGGCTTCACGGGGCTTGTAGTGGAGGGCCGCCGTCGTTGCTTGTTGCAAAAGTCATTTTGAAGGAAAGACAGGACGGCCGGGGACGCTTTTACGGCGCGAATCGTCTTGGACAGAGTCACGACTGTCTGGGCGGCGGTGAGCATGGGTGCCTCAGACAGCGACATCTTGCGACTAGCCACCGGCGCGCCATCGTCTGGAGTCGTGGCGTCCGTGAGGGCAGGCGGTGTGGATTCGTCGTCCGTGTTCTGGTCGATGGAACTGAGTCTCGTTTGGGGAGGGCTGGGACTTCATACCTTATTCAGATCGTGGAATTCCCTCGTGCGTTCTGCGATCGCATGGCTGAGCTCGTGCTTCCTCGCCACCGCCTGGGTACAACGCCAACGTGACTTTCATGCAACAAGACAAGAGCGCAACCTCTTCTTCGGCCGACAGTTTCTTGTGCACAGCGCGTTCCTTGGGTTTGACGACAGGATGCGCATCGAATGGTCCGTTGATCACTCCCGCGCGCACCTCGGGCGCCAACTGCCGAATCGCAGCGATCTCATCCACGTATTGCTCGTAAGTGGGGCATGCGATCTGCGCCGCGCGCTCGCCGACGGCCACTTCCCCTACAAATCGTTCGTTTGGGTTGCCGCTATTCCTTGATCGATGGGCTCACCTTTAAGGGTGTCGCACTCCTTACACAGCGACTGGTATACTTTCTTGGACTCGTCTCGGAGCTTGATGAGGGCTGGCTTGCCAAACTGGCGCAGAAGGTCTTCCGATCGGGCATCTGCACGCACAGCCGTCGTTCGTCATGTGGCACGATGCTTTTCGTCGTGTGTACGAACCTTCGGCCACAGCGTGGTATTCCTTTTTGGCCATGGGGATGTCCTGGGTAATGAGGACTTGCATGCGCGCTTTCTTTTGAGCCAGGCGCTTTGCCTAGTCAACCGGTCAACACATTGGCGAGCGCGAGCGCGTTCCTGAACCTGTGTTTCGAAGCGCTCGAGGCGCTGCTTGATCTCGACTTCCGTCGGATATCGGTACATGGGGTTCAAGAGCTGCTTTTCTGTCGGAGGTTTGAGTTTGACTTCAGCGCGCGCTCCCTTGACTGGGTCCCACCCGGCCTTGACGCACTCGCCGCGCTGCTGCTGCACGAGCATTTTTAAATGGGCCACAAACGCACTGCGCCACTCGGCCTTGCGCCCGTCCTTGTCGAACTCGAACATGTCTGGAAGCGCCACAAAGAGACCTCGCATTTCAGTCACGTCAAACGCTTCAAAGTTAGCAAAACACTGCGCCGTGTCGCCCGTGAGAAAGTTGTCGCGGGACTTGTCCCGTTCGTGGGTGACGATCCATTGGAGAAACCTATGCATGGCATGGATCGGTGACGTCGAATAATTCCACGCACTTCTCGTACTTGTTTTGCTTGAGGTAATTGGCCAAATCTCGCGTGTATAACACCCCTGCTGCCTTCGCAGCGTCCAAGAGCTGCTCCACTGACATGGACGTGATCGTGTCTGGAATGAGCGAGCATAGTCGTTCGTAGCACGTCTGGTTCTCCGCAGCATGCTGCGCCTTCCATTCGACCTCCATGCGCCGCATTTCCACCGCGTATTCTGGCATTGCATTTGAGATGACGTCATTGACATGCCATCCTCCTGACGAGGGTCGCCACCTTTGGATTGTTCACGACGAGTCCGCCAAATCTCCATTTGCTTCAGTGTGGCGTTGATCTCTCGCTCCTTTCGAGACAACTCCTTGGCTTGGTATCCGTGAAACAGTTTGCACACCGCGGTGGCCTTTGTACACAGCCCCACCAAATCTTCGCCGCTCGTTTGACCCAGCGAATGCACGAGCTAGTCATGACATGATCATGTGCGACGTCACAATGACGTATCGAAACCTCCATCAACTCGCGCGCGTTGTCGGCCATTTCGATCGTGGAGAAGCTCACCGCTTGCGCCCCAAACGACGCCACCATGGCTTCCGTCGCGGCCACGACTTGCTTCTGAAGAGCATCTTGTTTCAGGACTCCCTGGCACAAACTCGTCAAGGATGTGGATGCGTCCGCGCATGACGTACTGCTTTGAATTTTTCTTGCAAGACCAACAGTTCTTTCTTTTGGTCCCCGAGGGCTGTTTGATAGTCGACGCAGTCTCGAGTAAGCACACTTTCGCGTCGCGGAGGGCTGTTGGATCGTGCGCGCTTCATTTCAGCATCGACTCGGGCATCCAAGAGGGATTTCTTGGTCGAATTGACTTCTTGCTGGGCGACAAGCATCACAGCTTTCGTCTCCGCCGCCTCCTTGGCTTGGGCACTCAGCGCCTTGAGAAGCGGTGCCAGTTCTGTCACCATGTGGATGCACAGCCGCGGCAACAAAATCAATTCTTTCGTACCTTTGGTGCAATCTTCAAATGGACAGCTGATCCACAGCGACTGCTCGTACAGCAACCTGTCGTACTCTTCTTCGGCGGTGGCCAAGTGTTTGTCGGCCAGCATAAATGCATTCGACTTGGCGCTCTCGACTTTCCACTGCCAGCCACAACCCCATTCGCATCAAGCAGGAGTATGTAACTTGCATCATCTACCTGCAAGTCTTCGTCGGTGAGTCCAAGCGTCGACTTGAGCATGTTGATCTGCTCTGTGAGCTGAAGAACTTTGGCCTTCTCGGCCGCGGCCACGATATCGGCCGCCACGGCGTCGACATCGCTTTTTCCCGGACTTCGCTTTTCACGCGGCGAAGACGTTCGGTCTTTGGAGGTTGGTTGCATCGTCGTCGTTTCGGGCACATCTCGGTCTCCACTGAGTCGTGGCGTCATTTCGTCGTCGTCGCCAATGTCGGGCGCATACAATGACGGTCGCCGTGGCTAGGACGATACAGAGTGAGGGATTCATGCATACCGTGAACAAAACGTACGACAACTTCGACGTGGAGTCGCGTGGGAGACTTGTGGGCCCGAATGGGCGACACCCCTGGCCGCACCGTGTTATGCTTGTCGATGGGCGTGGCGGTTTTCCGAGACACTTCAACAAGCGGCGCGAAGTCGTTCTGGTCGTGAGCCATGAACTTTCGCCGGAGATGCTTGATCGTTGTCCGCACTGACGTGGGCTTGGTTTGGCTTTGGGCGAATTGCCGGAAGTCTGTCGCATCATATGACATGGATTTCCCATGCAAGCTCCGCTTGACGGATGCATTTCGGTTGGTCGAAGAGCAAGAAGACGAAGCTGAGGTTCGTGGCGACTGCCGCGAACGTCGCCGACTGTCGAGTTTCTTGTCTGTCGTATAATGGCTAAACAAGTTGTGGACTTGGTCTTTGTGATCGAGAAGGTGTACGCCAAGAGCGTACAAACGTATGTGCGGAGACTCTTTCAAGGGCGGCTTGCTCTTTGCCTTGGCGGCATCGCGAAGGAGTGGCTCGGTTGACGAGAGGACGATGCTAGTCGGTCGTTTCGTTGGTGCCGGAGGTTCAACAGGCTCTGGCGCCTGCTGTGATGCCCTCGATGCGTCGGATACCTTTCTTCGAGCAGGCGGCTGCTCCTCATCGAGAAATTTCATGTCAATGCGGGTCGACTTCTGCCGGAACAGCTTCCGCGTCAGCGTCGCCATTGCAGCCACAACTGACCAAAGTTGGACCTTTTGTGTTGAGCCGAAACGGCGCCAATCTCTAACCATCTACAAGATCTCACCATTGTGGCAATTCTCTATATGCTCTGGAAGGCCAAATTTATGTATATTATTACACCATTGTTATTGCAACAAAATTTGGTGAGTTTGTAAGGTTGCAAAATGGTGAGCTTGAAACTGCCACCTGTTATCCGGATATCCGGATATCCGGATATCGAACCACCGAATGCTCATTCTTTGGTCCTCCCGTTGCTGGCGCCATGATGCTTCACCGATTGGGTTCGATAACGCGCCGCCACATTGCGATCAGAGGGCGTCCGGGGACAGCTGGTGAAGGCGTTCGGAAGCGGCTAAAAGACTACGTCGAGGTTGCCAAAGTGATCCGCACGCTTCAGGCGCCGCATTCAGATTACACAGTTGTGCCGATGCGATTCCAGGTCCCGAATGAGGCGCCATGGCCCGAGTCGATCCAAGGCAAGCTCTTTCACACATCAGAAGTTCGACGGCATTACAAAGCCGGTACGATGGAGCCTGAAGTCGTGGATGCATTGAACAAACTCCAGTTTGTCTGGGACGTGAACGAGCACAAGTGGGAACTCAAGGTAGCAGCATTGCGGCGATACAAAGAGCTGAACAACGGATCGACGGTCGTGCCGTCGTCATTCGTCGTGCCAGACCAAGACCCAGCCTGGCCCAAAGACACATGGAACTTTCCGCTTGGTCAGTTTGTTCACCAGACGATTCAGGAAATTAACACATCGAAGCGCAAGCGTCATGTCCTCGAGACAAATCCGACGCCGCGGCAGCAGCAATTAACGGCGCTCGGGTTTGACTGGACGCAACCGTTGGACCACTGCAAGTAAAGTTCAATCTACCGTTCAGGCAATTGTAGTGCTGTGTTGTGGGGGAAGTCGACTTGAGTTCGATGTCAGATGTCCTTCGCCGCGCCATTACCTGCATCCTCTACGCACGAAATTGTCGCTCAACAAGAATGCGCGCATGCGACCAAAACCACAACAGCAAGTGATATCAAACGAAACATGTTGAACTCAATCGACGACGTCGTCGTCGCAAGTGGCGTCCAACACGGCTGCGGGCACACATGCTTCCATAGCGGTTTCAATCAGGTCTCGCAAATCAAGCGCCTCGCCGTTGCGATCGGCCCATCGCTGCGCCACATGGCGCTTCATGGCCTTCCCGCCATATTCGCCACTGCGCGATTCACATCATGAGTCACGTGAAAGAGGCACACGTCGTACTTGAAGAGGTTCAAGAGCGGCTTCATGAGCAAAGACGTTGGCATGGCGTATTGACCGGACTGCCGCACGGTGCCCCACTTGGCCTGCATGTCCTCTGCGTAGTCGAGATAGTTGGCGATGACCTGCCGCCTCGACAGTCCTGCAATGCATGCGTCAAAAGAAGTGATTCGTTCTCGTCGCATGTAAACCTGGGTTTGGTACACCAAAATGCAACCGATCGGCATCGCGAAAGTTCCATGGCGTGTTGTACGCGGCTCGGCCGATCATGACGCCGTCCACGTTCAGCGACGAATCCTTTATGGAGGTTACAGCCCAAAACGCTTCCCAGGTGAAGACATATCGATGCAGTGTACCTGAAGGAGCTCGTGTGCATGTTGAATGGATGCAACACCGCCGTTCAACATGATGCGGAGGTGCGGAAAGTCAGATTTGAGCCGACCGACAAAATCGTAGTTGAGTGGAGGAACCGTCCTGTTCTCGTGCGGGCTGAGGCGAAGGCCGTCGAGCCAGCACTTGCGCGCATGCACGGTGAACTCGGTGACGCCCGACTTCTCCACCGTGGACACGAACTCGTGCAAGTATTCGTACCTTACACGAATTGTGAACATCCAGAAGTTCGAGCGATGACGGGAGAACGTACGAGTCAAAGTCATCGACGCCCAAGCGGCATTTCACTGTGATGGGCGTGGAGGTGACTTGGCGGCGCATTTCGTAGCAGATGTCGCGCACGAGACTGGGATTGAGCATGAGCCTCGCGCCAAAGCACCCTCGCGATACTTTAGGACTGGGACACCCGACGTTGATGTTGATTTCGTGGAAACGGCCGTACGACTCAGCCATCTTTGCCACCTCTATAGACATAAGTTGCATACAGAAGGAAGGCGGATGGGAGTCGAACCGCCAAGAGTCTCGGGGTTGCTGCCACCAACTTGGAGGGCCAGCGGGTACTCGACAGCATCGTGCCCGAGGAAGTAGTCCAGGTTGTGCTTCTGATGCATGATCTATGGATAAGAAGCGTTCAAATGTCTGCTCGCTACCATGCGCAAGATGGCACTCACCGTCTCGTCGACAACCATTTCTGTGTAAAGCAAAGTGCGACGTGTGATGAGACGCATCATGTAGCGGTAGTGGCGATCCGTCCAGTCCATCTATCCGTCCGGACGTAAGAGGATGTCCTTCAAGCTCGCAGGAGGACGCGTACCATCGGCGCGACGGACAGTCGGGTTGGGGCATGTTCGATCGACATGCGGCGCAACATGCACGACAGTGTTCGCGCCACCACCAAAAAGTGTCAGAGTGGGAGAGAAAACTAGGACTTTTTCAAGAAGTATTTGTTCCCCATGAAATATCACACTCGAAAAAATCGAAATATTGATCACAAAAATACCAAATTTTCAAGGAAGGTTGAGAAAAATCATACGTTTTTGTCAATACGGTGTTGCTTGTCAATTCTTCTCCATTTTGTGGAATTCGTGATCATGCGCGTGTTCTGCCGTACGTGCAAGGAGTGCGAGGACTCCAGTGATGCAACGATGTTCGACGAAGCCCTGACGTGCGCCAAGTGCGGTGGCCCATACGTTCAGCCGTCTGTCTTTGAATGCGCTCAGTACGGTCTCCTCGACGAGCTCAAGTTCCTCTTGGACAAGGTACGACGCTCGGTCCCGTGTCGTTGTCACACAACGTGTCCTGTAGGAAGGAGAATCGTCGCCGGTCGACATCAACATGCGCGATTCCCACAACGCAACTCTTCTTCACTGGGCTTCGTTGAACAACCGATTGCTCGTCATGATGTACGTCGTTCAAGTTACCGACGACAGCGCGACCCATCCGGGATAGGTACTTGCTTGATTTGCCCGGGATCGACATCAATGCAGTTGGTGGGGATTTAAAATCGACCCCCATTTACTGGGCCTCGCACCGCAACAACATTTACGCGGTCGCGTTGCTGCTGGAACACCACGCCGACCCCAGCATTGCTGACGCGAACGGCATAGACGCCTACTTCGTCGCTGTTCAAGTGCGTATCATGACACGTGTTCACTTGGCTATGTTCACGCAGTTGATTCGTAGTCAGGGCACACGATTTTGGCATCGTACATGATCGCGATGGGGTGTGACGTCGACACGACGAGCCAAAGTGATGCATATCATCCCAAATGCCATGGACTGACCTGCTTCCTTCAGACACCGACAAATCGACGCCGCTGATGTGGCTGTGCCGATACAAGTTTGAACTCGACACGATGCGCATGCTGATTGGACTCGGCGCCAACATCCACGCCGTCGATGCCAACGGATACACAGGTTGGTCATTCACGGTGTGTGCTTCGCATAACGGCGCCTTGCCACGACAGCATTGCACTGGGCGGCGTCCAGAGACTTCGCGATGGCTGCGAAACAGTTGATTGACCACGGCATCGACATCTACGCCACAACCCCCAAGGGCGAAACAGCCTTGGACCTGTCCAACCGCGTCGCATCGGACATTGAAGACTCGACCCGCGGCAAGCGCACCGCCGCCGCCGTCGGATTTCTTCGAAAAGTGTACGCGTACGACAAAGCTTACTCGACGTTCCCGCTCTCGGTATGTGGTCTGGATGCACTTCCGTCGTCATAACATTGGCCCGCGAAGGTGCTCAAGCTGCACAGTCGTCACACGGCATTCTGGACCCCATGGATCGTCCTCGGCCTTGCTGGCTACGCAACGCACGCACTGCACGGCGTGCATGTGTTCATTGGCGTCTTGGGTGCCCTCGCCGTGGGCTACGCGCTCTTTTCCATTGCGGGGCTTGGAGTGAATCCTGGAAAACGAAAAAATGCCGCGCTTATGCTGGGCGTGAACATTGGGTCGACCTTTTGGATTAATTTTGTTTTCGTGACGAGCATCGCGGCCCACGTGAGCAATGCTGAGTCTGTGCTGTTGATGGCCCTCGTGGCTGGTATCTTGGTCTGCTTGTACTTCACTGCCACGCGGGACCCAGGCATGATCCGTACGACATCCTCGGAGCGGCGTCGGGTTCGTAGCTCTCCATCTTGCCATGGTCTGTGTGCTTAACGAGTTGCTAGAACATTCGCGAGCTGGTGGACATGAAGTCGCGGTCCGAAGTGAAGCTGTGCACGACATGCATCCAGCGCCGTCCGCTGCGCTCGAAACATGACGCCGAACTGAACGGCTGCGTGGCTCGCTTCGATCACTTCTGCCCCTTTGTCGCCAACGCCGTGGGCGCGAATAACCATACGTATTTCCTTGGGTTCCTCGTGTTTGCCGTGGCCGGGATCGGCTATTTTCTCGTCCTCGCGTGGAGTTGTACGCTGGTTGCTCCATGTACCAGTCCTCTCATGCGATCATGACGTAGATTTGAGCGCCATTGTCGCGGGCGATGCTACGTACTGGGGCATCGTGACGCACCTTGCCCACGACTTCCCCGTTGTGACGAGCACGTGCGGGCTGGCCGTCGTTCACATCGCATGGATCGGCTACCTCCTCGGCGCCAACATCTACGGCATCCTGTTTGCCTGGACGACCAACGAGTGCGTCCTCCAGGGTCGTGTTCCTGTCGACCCCGCCGCGCCTGTTATGCATCACTCCAAGTTTTCCAGAGGAATCACGCAAAACGTGATCGACTTCTTTCACCTCCCGATCGGGCACAACCGCATCGACTGGACCACCGCACGGTTCTACAACCTCGCCGACGTCCATACGTATCATGATAATGACCAGCACGAGGAGTAGACTCGCTGCCTTGCCTAACACGACGTACAGAACCAGGACAATGAATTCATATGCTGCCAGCGTGCTGAGGCCTTGTCCACAGTGTTGCGAGATCGTTGAGATCGGTAGCCGCTTAGGCCACAAACTATCTCGTGCAACGCCTAGCACACTAACCTTTGGGACATTCGCGCATGCATGAACATCATTCGTGACGGAGAGCGTGCTTCGTAAGCGCTCGTCGCCCGCCGCAACTTGCAAGGGGAGGACTTTACCTTTGGGTGTTAGACCCACCGAATTGCCGCGAAATGAAGGCGTATCCGGATGACATTCCATGGGCAATTCAAATTTGAGGCATTTTCAAGTCATTTGTGCCGTTTTCTTCCCGCTACGACGAACAGTGCGATGGCCGATACCAGGATAGCCGACTACGGCAGCGACGACGACGTCTGTCTGCGTGGCCGCGATGAGTCTCCTCTGACCTTTGAGGCCCTGTCATCGTCGGAACCTGCCAACCACTTAGAGGACTTTGGCGACGACGACGTCGACATGCTCATCACGCAGAGGCGCAAAGAGTTGTACCAGATCAAAGTGCGCAAGCTAAAGTCCCGCGAGAACCTCAGTGGCAATGGACTAAACTTGGGCGACTTGGACTTGCCGTCCATGGACGCCTCCCCGTCGAAAGGTGCCCAGTCTGCGTCGTCGTCGTCGTATACCACTCCAACCAAAGCGTCGCTCACAGAAATCGCCCACCGAGTCGCATCTAACGAGAAGCAACTACGATCCGACCGCATGCGACTGACAGAACTCGTGTCTAACGATGTGCACTACCACCAATCTCGTACCGAGTCCACATCGCGTAGCAGCAGCCGACGGACCAGCCCGCGAACAACGCCAAGTCCAAATCACCAAAAGCAGCTGCTCAGCCAAAAGGCGATCCACAAGTGGCATCCCGACTCAAAGCGCACACAGATCGTCAACCAGGACACGCCGCTCGACATCGCGCTGAGCTCGTCCGAGTACGACGGGCACATTGGGTTTGCTCCAACGGAAGAAGAGTTCGCCGTCACGAATTCCGCGACACGGCGCTTAAAGGCGCTAGCGATGGAGCTCGACTCAGACAACCACGAAGACGAAGCGGAGATTGTCGTGCAACAAGTGCTCGACTTTGGCAAGTATTTGGGTGAGGAGCAGGCCAAGGGGTATTTCGCTGGGGACGATGCTGGCGGGAGTGTTTTCCACGATCTCCAGCGAAAGATGGACGACATGACGCAGCATTTGGAGCGTCTACAAGAGGAAAAACGCCTTCTAGAACGGCAGCAGCAGGAGTCGGACCGGAATGCCACCGACATGTCATCGTCCTTGCGTAGGCACTCTATTCTGTGGCTGCAACCCCTTCACCACGGCATGTGCACGTCGTAGGTATGCTGAGCGCCCAAGTGTCGCAGTTTGTAAATGGCGGCAACGGATCGGGCGCGTTGAATCCGAGGGATCTCCAGTCGTCGAGCAGTCACTACAAGGAAGACCTGATGGACGAAGTACGACGACCAGCTATCCGCCGACTTTCCACATTGATGATGGTGTGCATAGCTCAAGATGCAACGAAAGCTGATGGGCGACCTCGAGGTCGAGATCAGCCGATGGCGGCACGACGCCGATATGCTCGAGCAGGCGCGGGTCGTCGAGCACCAGGAGCACAAGGCCCACGTCCTACAGATCGTGTCGAGCAATCGAGTGCTGGAGGAAAAGGTGCGTCAATCCCCATCAACGAGGAGATGTCCCTTTGGTTGATATATTGACACAGGTCGAACTCCAGCGGGACGCTGTCAAGACCCTGCAAGAAGATGCGCGAGGGTGGCAGCACAAGCTCGACACGGTGTGGGATCGCATCCTTCTCGTGGAGAGCCGAGTCCTGGACCTCGACAAAGAGCTCGTACGTTCATTCATCCAGAAGATGTCCATGCAATGTGTTGTAGGCTGCGACGCCGCGCCCACGCAGTCTTTTGACGATCTTGGTGGTTTTGCTCGTGGTCCTTGCTGTCGGGCATGCCGTGATCGACTCCCCTGCGACAGAGGAGGCAGTCGTGTTTGTGTGTGCAGCCCTCGGCTACACGTGCCACATTCCCCTGTCCTAGAGCTGTCCTTGTAGCGTCAAAATGCAGTCTTGTCGACCATGTCTCTCGATCGATCGTTGCTTGTTCACGTTAGCTACGCCTGGAAACCTACAGCGCTATTGCTTTTCCTTCACCGTAAACACCTTAATCTTTAAGATCGTTGTCATGTCCACCACAACGAAGAACACCATGTGCGCGTACACGGCAACGACGAGTGCAAACACGGCAAAGAAGGCGGCTTCTTCGAGGGCCTACATACCCCGCATGATGGTGGTGTCATCTCGAGCCAGCGTACCACAGGGATCAGGCCGGCGTAGAAGAGGCCGACGATGGCGACAATCACAGCGAACGACTTGCGCACCAGCCAGTACGGTTCCTCGCACAAGTGCGCCAGCATGATGTGCATGACCATCTATCGACACGATGCGAACAAGCATGTCCAGAGCATCACAGTGTACCTTGCACGAGATCAATCCAATAGTCCAGAGGAACAGGCGAGGATGAGATGCCAAGATGTTGGACGGCGAGTAGACGCCATACGCAAGGGATGCCCCGAGGAACGCGATGAACGGGGCAATGCGACCGAGCGCGCCAACGAATTCCGATGGCTTGACGGCTTGCGCCACGTTGAACACGTTGACGAGGCACTGACCTCCCGCACCAAAGGCCGTCGCGATTACAAATACGGCATTGTTCGGGAGGGCTGGGTAGACTACGCATGGCTACGACGGGTGGCGTTGGACTTTGCTTACGACAGGGCAGCACACGTACCTGAGTCCAGAACGCCGGCCCAGTCATGGCCGTGATAGCGTATATGATGTACATGATCGCAAGACCTTCGTTGGGCCCGTTGATGAGGCCCAGGTCGAGCGTTCCGGTGTAGTATTCTTCCCATGTGGCAAAGAGAAACACGCACGACGGCGACAAGAGCAACCCCAACGACTGGATGCACCATGAAAAACAACGACCGCGAGATCACGACTTACCCAAATCGAAGGACCCATGAGCATGGTCGACGTCATCGTGCATGCGCTAAAGACGACGTTGACGGCATCGCATCCATGATCAAACAGCAGCCCAAGCGGCGACGAGTTTCCAGTCTTTCGGGCTTGTTTCCCGTCCGTCACGTCCAGCACTTGGTACCAGAACAACGCTGCCGCGCTGAACAGGTAAGCTGCAGGAGGCGCCACGCCATCGAGAGTCGGCGCGTAGTACGCAAGAATCAAATGCGACAACGCGACAAGTCCAAGACCGCCCGTCGTGATCGTGTTGGGAGCGAGCCAAGGAGGAAAGAACGTGTCAACAATTCGCTGAGCCAGTGGTGAGAGGAAGTAGTTATACAGCAACGACTTGTCGTTGCCGCTGTACTTGTACTTAGGAAGCTGCGCGGCCCCGCGCGCCGACACATAATGGTGCGCCATCTCGTTCAAATTGACTAGTGGGACGAAGATTTTGGTTGGGTTTTAGAAACCGAGTATGTCCCACGTTTATTCACGAACATGCGAATCTCAACTGGCCAAGCAGCCCGCGTTGAACAACTATCATCCAACGAGGTATGGACGCACTCATGCACCATGCAGACGCTTCATCAGCGTGCGCCCTCTCGAGGAGTCATGGACCCCGGTCGTGTGGCGGCAACTCGTTGCGTCTCGATGGAAATTTTCGACACGGGTAAAACCCAGCAACGTGTGCGAAACCCATGTGTATTTCCCAATGTGTTTGTCCCAATGGAATGACGTGGTTTTCATTGGCCAATCCGTTGTGATCTTGGTTGTGGTGGCCATGTCCGACATCCGACGGTGCGTCAGCCATCTCCGTGCGCGCTCGACGCTGATTCTCATGTAGGTATGGATCGTCTGGCGTACACACTGTGGAAGGCAACGTAGCAGGATCTCTGGCAGCGCAGTTTTCCCGCCAACGGGAGAAGCAAGAGAAGGAATTTGAAGAGAAAAGGAAGCAGATCGAGGCAGACAACGCGCGGTCGTCGCGCATTGACAAAGCATTCGAATCACACACAGATGCAGCAACAGAAGCCGAATTCAAACGGCAAACGATCGGCCTCGTGACTGCCGCCGAATACCGTCGTCGACGAGAAAACTGCAGCAATCCTGTCGCCCCTGACGACGAAGTTGTTGCATCTCAACCACCTGCAAAACGCGCGAAACCCTCGAAAAAGAAGACCGCCAAGCCTCTCTCATTCTCCATGGACAGCGACGATGACGAAGCGCCCAATCTACCCGTGAAAAAAGCGCTCAAGTGTCCTTTCGTCGAGACAGCATTCCTCCCCGACAAAGACCGCGAAGAAGAGATCGCGCGCGAAAAGGTCCGTCTCACGCAGGAATGGACTGCCGAGCAGGCCCGCATCAAGGAGGAGAAAGTCAACATCGTCTACAGTACGTTTCTTTCCACCCTAATTGCTCGTCATTGCATCGGTAGGCTACTGGAACGGCAGCGGCCATCGCCAATTCATCACGGTCACCAAGGGCACAACGATCCGCCAGTTCCTCGACACGGTGCGCCAGTCGCTGTCAAAGGAGTTTCAGGACCTGCGCGGTGTCAGCACCGACAATCTCATGTACATCAAGGAGGACCTTATCATTCCCCATGTACGTTCTGTGACCCTTCTGGCGCTTCCCTGACCTTGTCTGCCCGCCAGCACGTATCCTTTTACGACATGATCGTGACCCAAGCCCGCGGAAAGAGCGGCCCGCTCTTCCACTTTGACGTCCACGACGACATTCGGCTCGTCAACGACATCCGCGTCGAGCGGCAGGATTCGCACCCTGGCAAGGTCACTCATCGCGCGTGGTACGAAAAGAATCGCCACATCTTCCCCGCGAGTCGGTGGGAAAACGTACGTTGTCCCCATCTCCATGCTCGCCTGACGCGCCATCGATAGTACGATCCTGCTGTGCCTCGAGACGCCCGCTACACGACCAAGGGAGACTAGCACGGGGCAGAGGACCTTGCTTGTATGTAAAAGATTAAAAGAAGGGACGGCGAAGCGACGATCGGCGCGTTAGTCCTCGTCGTCAGCTTGGATGAACTTGGAGTACGACGTGCGTTCGCATTCGCCGTTCGCGTCAAACACAGCCTTGTAGAATGATCCGTCGGCACCGACCACTACAAGCACCCCAATGGATCATCTTCACGGCATACTTTTCATCGCGCGATCGACGTACCGAGGATCGTATTCTTGTCGGTCCCAAAGGCACAAATCGTGCGTGTCTCGGGGACCTTGAACTGGGCAAAACTCCACTCCGAGCTAAAGTACTTGGGCAAGAGTCCACGCATGAACGAGAAGCTCGACTTGTTATTCTCCGTGTTGTCGTCTTCTTTCGAGATCGGCGCCGACTGCGTCAACACCCCCGACGCATACCTCCCGCTGTTGGTCCGCGACGCATTCAGCGGAGGTGCCGGTAGACCGTCGGCACCGGCCACGTCCTGACTGAGCGCAAAGATGTGCACCGTGTACTTGTCGCTCGAGCACGCCAAGTACTGCGAGTTCGGGCTGAAGCAGACGCTGTAGATCTCGGCTTTGTCCGCCCCTCGTCTGCATCCGCACAATCAGCAACGTCCGAGAACGTCACACGCACCTCAGTTCCTGCAAGATGTGGCCGCTTTGCGTATCGAATACACGGATGAGCGTACCCTTGTCCGACGACGTCGCGAGTCGAGTTCCTTCGAGGTTTAGCGCCATCTTCGTGGGCGAGTAAGATGGGTTCAAGTGCCATGGATGGGGTACCTGGGACAACTCGGCTTCATGCGCTGTAATCAGCGTTGTCTTGCGCTGGTCGTACAGTTCTATTCTGACCGTGCCGCGGGACACCCCCGGACAGGCGAGCACTGTGTTTGTGGAGCTCGGGCACAACGCACACAAACCCTTGGGGTTTGTAATTGTCTCAATGTGGTCCATCAGCTTGAGGTCGGCGAAGTTGTACACGTAGATCTTGTTTTGGAGCACCACGACCACCCTGCAAGAGTCGTGGGACGAGGTCAGGGACAAGACGTGTGGCAGAAGTGGCGTACCGATCGCGGCGGAGCTTTACAGCCTTGACTTCGCTCCGAAAACTCAATTCTCCAATGTTGCGACTTTGATGGTCGTCCCAGATCATGACTTTGTTCGGGGGGTAGCGCGGGTTTCGCCCACCCCCGACAATCGCAAGGATGTTGCATCGAAAGAGCATTTCGACGATGCCAATTCCCCCACTCGAGAAATCTACATACCATGGATCGATTAGCATTTGTCCACAGTCCCTCCCTTGCGGCGACATGCGTACCTCGACGGAAAGTTTCCTTGAACGGGTCACAGTTGTAAATCCGAAAGCCGGTGTCGGTCCCACACGCAAAGCACCCTGTAGTCAAACTGTCAATGCCTCATCATCTCGAACGTGTGCGGAGCTGCCGTGCACCCACCGTAGTCCTGGTTGAATCCGACGAAGAGGAGCTC